GTGGGTTGGGGAGCAGAGTTTGAGGAACCGGTCGTGGTGTGTCGAGAGTGCGCGATCGGGTTGAACAACTCAAGGCCAAGGCCCAAGTGAGCGTTGCAAGGTGCCGATTGTGGAGGCGGGTCTGTCTGGTGGTGGTGGCAGCGGCAGCGGAGGGAGACCTCGGAGCTGCTGCAGGTGCCGGACTTACGCTGGGTTGGGCGGGGGTAAGCCACGCCGTTCCTCCTCAAGAGCAGATACGTGAGCGTCAGATAGGAGGCTGCCGATCACAAGACCAGCTCACTCGAAAAAATGCCGCCCTCCACCATGCACGAACCACCCATACACGCGCCCGATGGCACCCCCATCATCACTGACCCCCCCCGGCTGCCACGAACACATGGTGGTCCGCACATCTCTCTCTCTCTCTTTTTTTCTCTCTCTCTCTCTCTCTCTCTCTCTCTCTCTCCTACACAGAGAGGGTTGGGTCTCATACAAAGGCATTTTGGTGATGCGCTCTCTCTTCTCTCTCTCTCTCTCGCTCTCTCTTCTCTCTCTCTCTCTCTCTTCTCTCTCTCTCTCTCGCTCTCTCTCTCTCTCTCGGAGGCTGCCACTCGGCTGCACGTGATCCCCTTCCCCACACCAAGTTCGTTCGTGTTCATCATCGTGGTGGACCTTTGTTGGTGTGGGTTAAAAAAGGACGACAACACCGTTCTTTTGTTTCGAGGTTGAGCCTGGCAGGGGTTTGGACGCCTGATGCAAACCCACACACCCAATACGACCCCCTTGCCTTGCGAGTTACACCAAGTGTGTGTGACTTGACAGTTACGATGAACCAAAACAAATCCTTTTTGAGACGAGACCGTTGGCTGTAGCGTGACAACCGACACACTTGGCGTCAAAGTCGCACAATCTGCGAGTCTGGGCGACAGTTTTGTTGCCAACAGGTGTTGAAACCAAATCGTCACCCACTTGTACCAAACAGGTGTTGACAACAATCTTCTTGGAGTGCGGACGCACCCAATGATCCAAAAAAAATCAAAAGTTCCTTATCGCAGTTGATTGACGCTGCAAAGGCGCCACAACCCTCAGCCCACCCCTCGCCACAGCCTCTTGGCTACCCCCTGGATGCTGGAGAGGCTCACTCTACCTTCACTGGGCAAATCTAATGTCCTTTTTTTCGCGCTCCCAGCAAAAGCAGCACCGCCACCTTCATTTTCGCATCGCCAAGTGCTGCACAGAAGACTCGAAACACCAGGTGACTGTGTGCAGCCTGCTTGATTCATACCAGACCTCGTACTCGTGTCACCCCGACGCTGATGCATTCGCTTGCTATGCTCTGTGCAGGACGTGGGGCTGACCAAGCCTGCTAGATCGACACCATGCTTGAGCTTACCGACCTACAGAGTGCGTCTCTCTGACACCCGCAGTCCCACCCGTCCCCTTGCTGGCCGCTCCCGCACGCTCAAATGCCATCCTGGTCTCTCTCCGATAACCTCGGCCCTGGTAGAGATTGGCATCGGCCTCACGGGCTTTGGCGTCTTCTTTCTCTTCCTGGGCATGCTCCTGTTTTTCGACTCGAGCCTCTTGGCCATGGGCAACATTCTCTTCCTAGCCGGCCTGTCCCTTCTCATCGGTGTCCAGAACACTTTTAATTTTTTCTTCCAGTTTACCCCGAGCAAAATCAAGGTACACAGCCTTGCCCAAATCGCATCATCGGCTCGTGAAACAACATTTGATGCCGATTGCAATCTGCGCTGACCGCCCTGCACGATGTCGCCACCACTGGACCGTGTAATCCCCAAAGGGCTCCGTTTGCTTTTTCGGTGGCATTCTCCTGGTTCTGTGGCTGAGCCCCTTCCTGGGCATGCTGCTGGAGCTGGTGGGCCTATATTATCTCTTCGGGTACGGCCATTATCCACCCACCAACCACGTGCCCCCTCGTTCCTGTCTTCATCGTGGTTTGGCATCATGTTCTCCGCGCCGGGCTCACCCGTGTTGTTCTGCGTAGCGACTTTTTGCCCACCATCATCAACTTTTTGCGCAGCGTCCCTGGGCTCAACGTCATCTTTTACGTGCCCTTTGTGCGCCAAGTACGTCAAATCAGCCTGCCCACCAGGCGACTTCAGTCCATGGCCGCCTTCTCAGCGCTCACCAAACTCATTGCACGAACCTGCTGACCATGGCTCTTAGGCGGCAGACTGGGCCTCGGGCGCTTCCCGCCTCCCCGTATAAGCAGCATGCTGTCATCAATGCCTTACCTGGGGCGAATCAAAAAGCCAGAGCGGGCGTCCCGACACACCGCGCTGCCAACATGCCCTCAACTACTCACCCGACTAGCAAGTGTCTGCGGGGCTGGGCCCCCATGCTTGTCTCCCCCAACGGTGCCCTCGCCTCCCCTTGGAGACCCCTCGGCTCTTTCGGCTCCGTGCGTTGGTCTGATGTCAACACGGGGAGGGGGATCGTCCGTGTTTGATGTGTGTGTGATGAGATGATCACGGTGACGTTGGAATCGTTATTTGTCGCTGACAAAATTGCAACAACAAGAAAAAGTGCCAAATGTCAGCAGTTCTTTCCAACACACACACACACACACACACACACACACGAACGCGCACAACCGCGTGGTGGTTTCCTTTTTCTCCTTTCAACACCATCAGCGATGGCGCAGGGGGGCGCCAAGGGTCTCAAGGCCGCTGCGGGCAAGAATCGCGTTCACCAAGCTCGTCGTGCAGCCAAAACGACGCGCAAGGGCGGTATGTTTTCCCCCACCCAAGCATGACCCTCTCAACTCTGACGTGCCCCCGGTCGACGATCAGGCTGATGAAGAGATGTTCGTCTAGGCATGACAATCAAGCCCAAGAATACGAAGCTTCAACACCAGCTCAAGACCACCGTGGTACGTCGGCCATGCCTCCTGTGCAGACTCGATCTTACCTCTACACGTGCTTGCACCACACTCAAGGCACTGCTGATGGTCGATGCTGGCAGAAACTGAACAAGGCCATCAATCAGAACATTGAGGCCGAACTGATGAGTCGTGCAGACGAGCCCAAGCCCTTTCATATGCTCAAACGCACCAATGCCCCGACCACGGGCACGGGCAAGGTAGGTCTTCTCGGCCCGCCAACCAACACAAACAAACAAACAAAGCCGCCATCCCACACACACACACACACACACACACACAGAACGCAGGAGACTTCAGACTGCAGGAACCTCGTGCCACACCCACTCCCCTCACATGCACGACATCTCGCCGTCATAGGTGGTCAAGCGTGCACTCAAGGACCGGCCGACCAAACCCACCGCAGCCAAGACGCCATCGGCTTCGGCTCAGCCCTCGCCTCCCAAAAAGGCCAAGGTAGCCGACGCGGCCGCGCCGAGTGACAGCGATGCCAGCGACGATGAGGGTGAATGGGTCACCGAACCTGGTCTTTGAGAAGGGTGCGTAACGTCGATGCCCTGGGCGTCCAAATTCTCCACCCTTGTCGGGCTCGAGCCTCGGGCCCCTGGCATTGGTGTGAAGCTTGGTGTGCGCCTGTGCGCTGGGTGTTTGAATCACGTTTTGCTATCAACTGTTGTGTCTTTGTTGTTTCCTGAAGGGGCAGTGCGGTGACTTGGGGGCTTGCATGAGCCCTCCCCATGCGCTTCTTATTTGTTGCAGGCCCAGTCTCTCCCTTCCTTCCCCGTGCGTGTGCATGTCATGTGTGTTGTGAGCACTGCCATCACCGGGCCGAGCCCGAGCCAACGAGAAATTCATCCAATTGCGTCATCGCTACACCTCCTTGATAATGTATTTTACTTTTTTGTTCAGTCACCCAGAAACAAGCAAAAGTATGTGGGAAGGATGATTGACATGCCAAATGATCGGTGTGGCGATCTACCACTACTGCCCCTTATAGACCAACACACCGGTGTGGGACACAGTCCGGTGCTGGGAAATGGCACAACACGTCCAACTTTTCGAGGACAAGATTTATTAATTGATGACACTGTTCTGTTTCGGTGTTTCCACTGGTCCAAGAATTGGCTGATGGTGTGGTTGAAAAGCAAACATGGGCCTGGTAATTACGTTACCATTATTTTTATCCCTCCACCAATACAAAAAGAGGTGCACATGGAGAAGGGGGCGTGATGGGCCCAGAGTGTGACCAAGTGTAACCTACCGAATCCCGTGTCCCATACCAGCCCACCCTTGCACCAAGCCACTGACGTTACCTTAACCCCCTTACCTTACTCGACCTCCTCCCATGTTGCGCAAAAAGCCACTGTGTGTGTGTGTGTGTGTGTGTGTGCCAAAAGGTGGGCGTTTCCCACCTAACAACAGAAAACCCCATCACACACACACACACACAGACACGCGTTTGTTTGACCAATTCGCTTTGTTTTGCTCTTTTTCCTTTGTTTTGTTGGCCCCACAGTCCAACTTGGATCGCACGTACCTCTTCAGCCTTACTGTTTCTCCTCGTTCGATCGCACCCCGCCCCACCTGCCGCTTCCCCCACCTCTCCACAGTCCCCCTTGCCCTTCCGCCCTCTTCTGCCCTTCCGCCCTTTGCGCTCTTGCGCTTTTCAACCCCCGCGCGATCGCTCATTTTTCGCGACACTCGTTCTCCTTTTACGTCCTTCCGTGTGCTTTTCTTCTCCCCCCCAAAACCGACACCATGGACTACAAGCCTCCCGCGGTCGATGACCTCAAGTTCATCTTCTACGGTACGACCTCGCTTCGCTGCCCTTCCTTGTCTTCTGAGCGGCTGCCGCTGTTACACCCTCCTCTTGTCTTGTCTTGCCTTGTTGTCGATGGCGATCACATGTGAACCCCACCACACACAACTCACGTATATCCGTTGTGCCCTGATGATCCCCCTTGCATTCAGCTTGCTGCTGCGAGATGTGCTCCCTGAAGGAGTTCGAGTGCTCCGCCATCACTGAGTACGATGTTATCTGTAAGTTACGACCACCCGTCAAACCTCGTGTTGATGTGGTTTGGCAAGACACCACCACCACATGATGAGATCTTCTTTGTTCTCAAAGACTTGCAATCCGATCAAGCTTGTTCTCGTCACCTCTCACCGAACTTCCTTTTTCCTTCTTCTCTCTAGGCTGCCACGGCGCTCAGTCTTGCTCCATGGGCGAGATCAAGGGCTGCATCAAGTCCACCGGTGCCTGCCTGTGCTTCGACACCCGTTGCGCTCTCCCCTGCGACGACGAGGTCCCCTTCATGGTCGGACTTTGCAACGTCATCTGCTACGACTCCCGCAAGAAGTAAATGTGCTTCTAAGCACCTCTATGCTTCTTCACCATTGTATGCAGTCCCGTTTTTGTTGGATCATTAAAAAGCTTTGGATGTTTGCTTAAACAATCCACTTTTCGTTTTTTTTTATTTCTACACGTCTCGTCCTCTTGCTACCATACCAGAAGTACTTTCTCTTTCCTCTGACACTCCCCACCACCACACACACACACACACTGGCATGGGAGACACAAAGAAGGCGATCCGACAAGATGAACCAATCCGACAAGATGAACCAAAGACAGGACCCCGTGTCTTATTGGATGAATTGTTCTGGTTTTTTGACTGGTCAACTCTGGTGCGCGGTTTCTTCTTCTCAAGCAAGCGAAGCATGAGGGTCCGCCTATTAGGGCAGCAGCCGAAGGAATCTAAAAGCCCTCGAGCGCAGCCAGACGCTGCATCAGCTCCTGGCTTTCCAAACGCTTGGCCTCGACCTTGTAACCGGCCAAATCCTGACTCAGCACAGCTCGCAGAGTCCCCCTACAGCAAAAAAAGAATGGTCAAATCCAAAGTGGGTCAGGCGACCAATGCGCGACAAAACCGCTTTAAAAGAAGCACGCAAGCAACGTTTTTCGTTTCGATACATACGAGGGACGTTGGCCCGGCACGGATTGCTCTGCCTCGCGCCATCGGTGCAGAATCGTGCAGATAATGTTGAGAAGATGCAGGTGTCGACCCAAATGAATCCAGTGATATTGGTCCTGAGAAAGAAACACAAGCGCATGAGCCACAAAGGAGGATAGTCTTCTCATTGAACGCTTGGGATCTTCATCAAGTTGAATAGGAGCAGAGTAACTCGGACCGACCTGGGTTTTGCAGAGTCCAGCATACACCTCGTACAACTCGGCCCAAGACAGGCCAGCCACCTCGTGTAGCGCTTCTGCCACCACCATGTCATTGACCAAATCACGATCGTGCAACAACTTGGCTGCAAACTCTTCCAACCGCCGCACAATGGTACCTAAAAACGCAACCAAAATACATGCCGTTGAGCTGACCACACCAACCCCTCAACCCGCTACAACTATTACATGTACAAAAGGGAAAAAGCAAGACCATCCCGAAAAGAAGACAATAAAAAGCAGACAAGAGAAAAAAAAAAAGAACACGAAAAGGCAACAACGCATCTGATCAAGAAACGTACGAAGAGGGACGCTTGCACCATGTTGATGGTAAGGTTCGATGATACGCGCCACTTCATAGGCCAGCGCCTGCAAAACTTGCGCCCGCTCAACAGAGGCCAGCGCAATGCGGGCCTTGTCCTCAATCACGTCAATCCACACGTGTTCCAAGTGCTGCAGGTTGCCTGCGACGTGCAACATGGCCAGAATGCACTCGTGCAGGTTGTGGGGCACGGCAAAATTCTCGTACAAGTCTTCCAATGGGAAGAGTCGCGTGCTCAGCGTCTTCAGATCGGCTTGCACCTGCGCCAACTCATCTGGACTCAAGGCACGCTCCTCCGGCAACTGGCGCAGCCGCTCGCACATGTGCACTTGAATTTGCGCCACCTCACGGCGATCGAGCAGCTCTCGGAGCCACTCGCTGATTTGGGCCGTTCGAGGATGTGCCGCCTCCAGCGCTTTGATGGCCGACGCCAAAAACTTGTGCCGATCCTCGAGAGTCAAATCTGCAAAGTCGGCATCTGCCAGGCGAGCGCACAGGCGACCCGCATCTGCGAAGCGCTGGCGGTGGCGATAGTGACGAAACAAAAGCTCCTCGCATTCGCGCAATGCCGATTGCTCGGCCACGGCGAGTCCGCCGTCTGCCAGCTGCTTGCGGCGCTCCTGAAGATACGTCTCAACTCGCGGTGACTCGAGCTCGACAAGCCAAGTGTCCTCGTGCTTGGCCAAGAGCCAGTCGAAGAGCGCATACTCGAGCAACTCATCGTCGGCCAGCAACACCAAGCGGAAGATCTTGTCCAGGGCAGCCCGTAGCCGCGCCTGAGCCTCGCCCTCGGCTTGTTGAATGGCTGCGTACAAATGACTGAGCACGCCAGTTGCCGGGTGTACCAGCGCGGCATGACAGCGCTGGCGTTCCTGGAGCACGCTTGCATCAAACTGAACGTCGGCCTTGAGGCCGGCGTGCCGGCGGGCGTGCAGGCGGGGAATGCGCACCGCACCCAACACCAATCGCGTTGCCTGTTCCCAGGCCTGCTGTGCAACAAACTTGTTGGTCAGTTGCTCCAGCTCCTCGGTTGTCTCAAAGCGACGCTGCACATCCAAAAAGATTTTCAGCGCCTCGTCCAGCAACTTGCGGTTTCCATCGCCCACCGCGGCCAAGCCCAAAAGCTCCAGGGCCTCGGCGCGCAGCTTGTCGTCCAACCGGAAGAAAGATGGGGCACAGTCGTGCAGGCGTTGACACATGTTGGTGTGATTGATGTGGCCCTCTGAGCTGCCCTGACCAATCTGCGCCAGAAGCTTCTCGATCATCGACTTGGCCAGCTGCTCGCCATCCTCGCTTGAAGCAAATGTGCAAAAGTCACAGGCCTTGAGACGCTCACGCTCAGCGGGCGTCAGGTGCGCCGTCACGTCGGGCAAGCGTCGCGGCTCCTCACAGAAGATGTACCACAACTGGATAGCCTCATTGGCCATCTGCATTACCGAGTAGAGCGCATAGAGCGAGCGCACCTCTTCGCCTTGTGCATCCTCCACGCCGGTGGCCAGGTAGCGTCCGACCGTATCCAAGTCAGCCCCACAGATGGTGGCAAAAGCCGTCAGCAGACGGCCAATGCCGTCGCTCACTTGTTCCAGTGTGGCCAGGCGATGCTTGGCATACAGCGCAGGCGTGTTGCTGCGGCTAATCACCATACGATCCGTCCAGATCTCCCGAACAAGGCGGCTAAAGAACTGCGCGGCGGCATCATGAAGACCCGAATGCAGCACCTGCGACACCCAATCGGTTCAAGAACATATCACGGAACAACAAGTTACCAAGGGCTTGAGTTGCGATACCGGCGCCCATGTGACACCCCACATGTACGCTTCCCAAGGCCAACAACCTTCCTCATGCCTCTTGCGCGTAGTCAGACGTACGAATGAAGTTCCAGCCGCGACACCGATCGAAGTGGCACTGGATGAAGTCGGGGCCGTATTGAGCTGCAATGGACTGCCCCCTTGGCGCTTCAGCAGCTGAATGGCTGCCCTCTGCACCGCGCCTGTTGACGGTTGACGACATTTGAGGCAGCGTGAGCAAATCGTGAATGGATAAAGGAGAATAAACGACATATCAAACACCCCATGGCGGGAAGGTGTGTTCCCCTTTGATTTTCTCTCGTTGTCTCTTTGACTGTAACTCGAGGCGAATCCTGATACCGTCAACAAGTCTCACAGGATAAGAACGTACCAACGTCGGGATTGTGAATGCCAGCGGCAAGAACCAGTGCTGAGGCACAAGCCTCACGACGAAACACTTGTTCTGACAGAATGAGGCTGGTGCGCTCCTCGTCATCCATAGTTTGGCCTCGGTCCTGACCGCGAGGATCCACCAGACGATCATAGGAGACCGTGCGCAGCGAGCTTCCAGCAGCTCCGATGCCCGTGTCGGGCTCGAAAAATTGGCCCAGGGTCGACTCGGGCAAGGAGCGATCCAAAAGACGAGCCCGCAGCTTCTCCACCGGGCGTGCGACGCGCAAGGACCAAGTTCCCACTGACGATAGAAACACGAGCTCTGGCGTGGGCAAATGCTGAGTAACGAGTGGATTGAACTCGGGTGCATAGCTTTCGCGACGCTCCCGCTGTCATCAGCAAAACCACATGAAAATGTGAGTGCATTGTCCTGTACCAGCCTGGTCTGTGTGCGGGTAATCCTACGCCCGACGAGCAAAGATAGATGCACATTGTGTACCTTGGCGATGCTCAGGATGTTGCAAGCCGAGTCAAACTCATATGTCGTCACCTCCTCACGAAGACTTGGTGTCTGCATTAACGGGCCCGGTCGGGTGGAAAACAACATCGCAACCAATCCATAATCACGTGAACAAAGGAACAGAAGAGGCTCACGGCAGTGCGCAAGAGCACGGGGAGACAAGACAGCATGAAACACGAACATGTTTGCGGCTGCGCGTAAAAAGGTCGAGGCAAACGGCCAGCTCGTAAAGCCGTGGGGTGATCATAAGGATGCGGTGGCCTTGCGAGTGGCGCACAGCCAAGACCAGCGTGCCTTGAGAGTAGCATGCCCGTTGAACCTGGACATCGCTTGCGCCCACCCCTGAAGCAACGCCTAGAACGCGGACATAACGCGCTTCGGTCGCCATGGCATTGAAACCCGTGTTGATGGTGAACTGCTCTGAGAACCGAGTGGTAAAGTAGATACGGGCGCCTAAGAGATGAATCACGTTTAGCCCGTACCATACCAGTATCCATGAGCACAGTTCAGAAACTGCCACCCCGTTTGTCCAACAAAGCAGTTGCGCAAAAAGCACAAAGGCGTGGAGCAAAAAAGTTTATGGGAAAAAAAATACACTCATTCAAGACGCACCCTTGTCAGTGACGGCGACGATGCCAATCTTGGCATTGGAGTCCTCTGCGTGCACTGGTGTAATGTAGATAATCTGACCATGGTTGTGCTGAGGATAGAGGGGACAGTCCACCGCATCATGTGGATGGTTCGTGTTGACAAGCACACACGGCGTGGTGATATCATGAGGACTATGCCACCAGTACATGCAGCTGTACAGAGCCCCCAAGTTTAGTCGATCCGAGAGCTGCGAGAACCAGAGTACAGAAACAGACCTTGATATAAGCGTCAAGGCGGTCCTGGCCGGCATAAAGGGTCTGAGCCTTGCGCAAGCCGCCTTCCTCAAGTACAAAGGCTTGGATGAAGTTGCGTGTGCGCGAGTAGAGCACGTTGCGGGAGGGATCAAAGCACAGTTGATCAATCTGCTCCGTGTTATCGGCAAACACCGAAGAGAGGACCGAGGGCAAAAAGTACTTGACGTAGCCCTGACTGTGATTGATCTTGCGACACTTGCGTCGAAACAGCCAGCCATCGCCACGCTGCCAGATCATGTGAAAGGGGTGAGCGGTCGCTCAGGGCGTGAGTGGGTGGCCGAAGCGCTGCTTACCTCGTAGAGCAGCTCGTAGACGCAGCCATCATTTCCCCCCATAAAAATACGACCGTTGGGGCCGCCAACCAAAGCAGTCATGGCCACGTTGTCGGTGGAGGCGCGATGCAGGGCGTCGGGGTCCATATTCATTTGACAGCCGTGCATGGTTGGGTGGGGCCGGCCGGTAAACTCGACACCAACCAAGTAAACTGTCAGTGGCGTAGCCAGCGCCAGCAAGTACTGGATCTTGGCGTCAAACACGCCTAAAATGGAAAGGGCCACCACCACGGCAGTTCAGAAAGAGAGCGCGTAGGAAAGTTGTCAGTTCCAACGCCGCGAAAGCCCTATCAAGCAACCCGAGAGACTCGCGGTGCCGAGCCTACTCGAGAACACAAACCTGGCTTGGGGCGAACAAGAGCTACGCCGACGATGACTTCTTGGAGCTCGCGGTAGACACACAAATCAGAGCTGAACAAGCGTGCGCAATATGCCATGAAACGTGAGCGAAACGTGCTATGCGCAAGCCCATGCGCCACCGGGAGCAGTGGCAGCAGGGTTGAGGGTGAGGCAGGAAGTAACAGGTGGCTAACCCATCATCAAAGTCCCAAATGTAAATGTGAGAGTCCACCGTCAGCCAAGCGCGGTTGACCTCGGGGAAAATACCGGTCAAGCTCTGTGCTTGTGCCTCTACGCACGCATGAATTTTCCATGTCAGAAACGTGGATGAGGCAGCAGGCCATGATGGCTTGGATGGACAGGACTACGGGTGTGGGCTGTGCCCAGATAGTGTTGCGCCTGAACAGTGCCTACGCTGAATTTGGTCCACCAGCTCTGGGTCGAGCGAATTGAGAAGCTCGAGCGGCGCTACTGGCTTCACGGGGATGTAGTCACGCTCGCTGTTGCCCGAAACATCTGTGGTTCAGCACGTCGCACATGCATGACAAAAAGCAACACCAGGCTCAGTGAGAAGCATGTCTCTCTCAAGAATATGATACGCCAGCCCATGCGCACGCCAGCGAGCGGTTCAACGCGCCTCCCCGCGCCCCACAGATGCTGTTGGGGAAGCACGACAGGGCATGTGGCCCAAGAAGACTTGGCCGGCTCCACCACGCGCACACACCCTCGGCTAGCTCAACGTACCGTTGTTACTCAGCAGCGTGCTAATCTTCTTGAAGCGAGTATCAGCATGGTTCAACTGAATCACAGTATCCCGAGCCTTTGTAATGAGGCTATCCGGACACGCCGGCAACACCTCACTGCCCCCGGCCGCCGCCATGTTGATGCGCTCTCGCAACAGAAGAAAGTAGATGGTCAACAGGAACAAAGAATCTTGGTAGTGAACCCTCTCTCTCTCTCTCTCTGAAATTCTCTCTTAAACTCTTCATCTCTCAAAACTCTCTCTTTTGACATCGCTCTCTCTCTATCTTTACTCTCCCAAACTCTCTCTGTCTCTCTCTCTCTCTCTCTACTCTTTCTCTTGTCGCTCTCTCTCTCTCTCTCTCTCTCAAACTCGCTCTCTCTCTCTCCCAAACTCTCTCCCTCTCCCAAACTCTTTCTCTTTCTCTCTCTCTCTTTCATTCCCTCTCCCTCTTCTCTCTCAAAATTTCGCTGAAGCTACCAACTGTTGTTAACTGTCATTCAAGCGCATGTCCATTTCCGAGGGGTGCTATTAACTTGTCAAGTCAACCCTCTGGCATCCCGAGGTGCTACAGAGAACGACGTTCTCAATCGACACACATACACACACACGAACGTACGTCGCGCAGGTCCGAATCGGCAGCTCGCACGCAAAAGGCATGGCAATGGGGTTGGGAAAGACCCGACCGCGCCTATCGGCAGGTGGGGTGGCTAGCTCGCCGAGTGAGCCGTCTAAAGTAACAGCGTCGACCGGTCCTGGCTCGTCATCCGGCAGCCCCATGCCAACTCAACTTGGGCGGGGCCGGCCCTCCTTGGCCTCAGCCATCACCTCAGAGCCCTGTCAGCCGATGCAAAACCCAAGGAGTACTTTGGCGGCAAAGGCAGCAAAGGATGTGGCCGAGGCACGACCTCTAGGTCGGACCAGGCCACGCCTAGCTGGGCTGGCACCGGCCGCTGCGATCAGTCAGCCCGCGGCTGCTTTGGGCGCGCAACGCCCCCGGCTCAACACTGCACCAGCCCAGCCAACCCTATGCACCAACACCAACGACGCGGATGGCGTCACCCCGCGCAGTGCCAAGCCAGCAAAGCCATCAGCAAGCAACGTTGCACCTGCCTCCATGTCCAAGCGCCCGACTATCGATGCTTCACCGCCACCACCAAACACCAAGCCTGCCACGCTCGGCCACGCTCGGCCACGCTTGACCCTGTCCTCTGACTCCATCGCCCCCGCTGCCCAGTCCCGACCAAACTTGGGACAGCAGCGCCCCAGACTGAAGGCCTTTGGTACGACGCAGCCCACTAATAGCCACGCTGCCACCACACCGACGCCTTCCATCTCAAAGCCCCTTGCAACGACCCCTTCTGGTCCCACCGCTACTTCTACCGCCGCGCCCTCCCACGCCTCATGCGTCCCAGTCAACGGGCTCCGTGCGCGTGTGCATGCTACACTGGTTCAACCAAGTCAACACCGGCTCATGACCATCCATTGGCCCACTCACCGGCAGCATGCGTCAACCTTGATACCACAGGCTGAAGTTGCTCACCTCGGTGCTGGCGACGCCGTCGCCGCGTTGATGGATGACCTTGCCCCTGTCGCCTCAACATCGGTGCCGGCATGTGAGGCACCGCCCGCGCTTCCGCCACCCGGGGCGAAGCGAGCATCTAACAGTCCCGCCGCACCCCAGACTGACGCTGGAAACAGCTCCAAGCGACCCAAAAAGAGCCGGTCCAAGCGCGCGAATAAGGCTGGCCGCACCCATGCAGCCAGCTCGGCCCTGGCTGCCCCCCGCAAGGATACTTTCTGTGCCTACTGCAAGAAAGACACCGACCATGACATTTATGCGTGTCCTAAATTGCTGGCGCGCGGTCGGGCACCTGTGCCACGGCGCGCCCTCACCCCGGAAGAGCGACTGCGTACAGTTCCCTGCCAGTTCCATCAGCATGGTCGCTGCCAAAAGGGCGAGGCCTGTCCCTTTTCCCATGCCGAGCCACAAGTTCACAAGCAAGACCTATGCAAGTTCTTCTTATCAAACGATTGCAAGAAGGGGGATGCCTGCTTGTATTCGCACGACCCCTCGCTCTTTCCCTGCCGCTTCTATCACACAGGTGGCTGTGACCGAACTGACTGTCGCTTCTCTCACGAACCGCTGACCGCGGACCAAGCTCACTGGCTCAAGCGCGACATTGAAGCCTTGGCTCGTGCCGAACAAGAGCGACAAGCCGCCGAGGGCACCACTTCCCCCGCACCCGAGCTATTTCGCGGAGCCGATTCGAGCCGGTCAACCCCCTCCCCCGCCCCCCAGGGGTCCGAAAACTCATCCTCCCCCACCGACTATCCTTTGACCGCGCGAGCCCCGCCTGGGCCTGCCGCACAAGCTATCACCCAGAAGTTGCTGCAAACCGTGGCCGTGCCCATGCTCTTTGGGGCGCCTTCTAACCCAGACCCACCGGAGCACTCCAGTGACGAGAATACCCCGAACCAGATCGAGGAAACATCCCTCTCCAATACCACTGTGCTCACCAATAACGCCCACCATGCGGGCGGGCGCCCAACGAAGCTTCTCACGCTTGATGAAGAGGATGAGCGTAATGAGCTGCTCGGAAGCTCGCGCGGCGACGGAAACGACAACACCGCCCGAGCCTTGCGTCACACATCGGAGGCTCGTCCGTTGGGTGGTGCTGGTGGAGTCCCGCCGTCCGGCGAAGGCCCGATCTTTGAAGCCGAACGCTATGGCCAACTCTTACGCATGGTCGGTGGGCGTCGAAAACCTGTCCATCGCAGTTCTTCTGAGAGTGGACAGGCCGACCGCTTCTGACAAGTACGCGTCCCAGAAGTGCCTTTTGGCTTCTGTCGTCATGACTAGAGAATACGAGAAAAATCGTAGATGAATCTTGAAGCTGTGAAATTTGTAGTAAGAGATGAGATAATGAATTCAGATGGATCGATAAGAAAGCAAACATAAACAAAGCTCCCCAAATCGAGGAATCAAACAAAACAACAAGTTGCAAAGAGTCATCTGCGCATGTAACTAGCTAGCTTGTGTGCTGTACATAGGGACCAGAAGGAACTTTCGTCACTTTAGAATCCCCAGGCAGCAAACACGTGTGCACAAAGAAAAACAACTCCTTGTTCGTCTTCCAAGTCCTTGCGTGTTCGTCAGCGCGCCCAACCAAGGCGCGAAGAGAGGGGAGAACAGCCATACATCAGACAACAGGTCGATGTTGCCCAACGCGCAAGGTGGCCAAAGTCAGGTCGCTTGTGCGTGGCAGAGAAGTTACTCTTGCAGAGGCAGGCTCTGATGCAAAAAAGTCTTCTCGCCCGAGGAGAAGTCCTTGGCCGTTTGGCCATCACCGTACAGCTTCCACTTGGTGGTCAGCAGACCCTCAACGCCCACGGGGCCACGGGCATGGATGCGCGACGTGCTGATACCAACCTCAGCACCCAGGCCAAAGCGGTAACCTAACAAGAACGGGAAGCACCAGAAGCGAAGCAAGTGAGAGGAACGGGTCACAGGGACATCGAAGATAACCACACAGAGGGGGGGGGATATAAAAGGAAAATCAAGTTAAGGTACATGCACAGAAAGACATACCGTCAGCGAAGCGCGAGCTGGCATTGTGGAAGACGCAAGCCGAGTCGATGCTGCTAAGGAAGCGCTTGGCGGTGTCCTGGTTCTCAGTGAGGATGACTTCAGTGTGCGAGCTGCCGTTGGCATGGATGTGCTTAATGGCGGCATCAACATCGTCAACAATTTCAATGGTGCACTCGGGCTCTCCGTACTCAATGTGGAAGTCGGTCTGGGGCTTGCCGCTGATGCCAATGGCGTCAAAGAGGCGAGGACCCATGTTGATCTTAACACCGGCGTTACGCAGGTCGGTGACAATTGACTTGAAGGTAGGCGACTCAACCAGGTCCTTGTGCACCAGAAGCGTCTCCATGGCGTTGCAAGCGGCGGGGTAATCGGTCTTGGCGTCAATAATCACGCGCAGGGCCTTTTCAGGATCGGCTTCCGCATCAAGGTAGACGTGGCAGACACCATCGGCATGGCCCATGACGGGCACGCCGTTGGCTTGCTCGGTGATGCTGCGGACGAGGTCGTTGCTGCCGCGGGGGATGATCAAGTCAATGTAGCCGTCAAGCTCAAGGAGGGCGCTGACGTCGTCGCGCGACTCAACAAGAGACACGGTGTCGGGGTTGGCGTGGAGGGAGAGGGCTTCGCGGACCAGAGAGTAAAGGACACGGTTGCTGCGCGAAGCCTCCTTGCCACCCTTGAGCAAAAGACCGTTACCGCTGGCAATGGCCAGGGAAGCCACCTGGGGCAGGCAGTCGGGGCGTGACTCGAAGATGACCATAAGGACGCCAATCGGGACGGTTTCCTGCTGCAGCAGGAGGTCGTCGGCCAGCTGGGTGCGCTTGACGACGCGACCGAGATGGTGGTCGGCATCTCCGGCAATCTGACGCAGACCAGCGGCAAGCGACTGCAGCTTGGCGGGGGTGAGGGAGAGGCGGTTAAGGAGGGCGGTGGAGGTGTTGTTCTCACGGGCTTCCTCAACGTCACGGCGGTTGGCAGCCATAATGTCCTTTTCCCGCTCGACGAGGAGGTCAGCCAGGCGCTCAATAATCTCACGGCGGGACTGGGCGGGCAGGACGGAGAGGTCACGGCCACCCTGGCGGACCGACTTGGCAACGGTTTCGATATCAGTAGACTTGGAGATGGCATCGGTGAAGAAGGTACCGACGCGCTTGCCCTGGAGGATCTCGGAGATGACGTGGGGGCGCATGCCGTTGGCAATGACAACGCCGACACCCTTGTGCCAGGCCCAGCAGGCGGCGCCCACCTTGGCCTTCATGCCACCACGGCCCACCTTGGAGCCGGCGCCAAAGGAAATGTCATCGAGCTCGTTGGGAGCGAAGCGCTCGAGGAGGCGGGATCCGGCCTTCTTGGGCGGCCCGTTGTAGATACCCTCAACATCAGAGAGGAGGAGCATAAGGTCGGCTTCCATTTGGTTGGCAATGTTCGAGGCGAGTGAGTCGTTGTCGACGACGGAAATGACACCGTCCAGGTCGGCGCCATCCTCAGCCGGTGGGGACACGGCATCGTTCTCGTTGATGATAGGGACGACGTCAATGTTGAGAAGGGCATTCATGGTTTCGTTGAGGTGGGTCAGGGTACGGCGATCACGGAAGTCGTTCTTGGTCACGAGCACCTGGGCGCAAGTAATGCCATACTGGCTGAACATGGCCTGGTACAGGGACACGAGGCCACCCTGACCGGCTGCCGAGCAGGCACGAGGGTCAATGCCGCTGCCAAAGGTACCCTTCTTGAGGGTTTGGCGGATGGAGCGGCTCAGGGCATCTTGCTGGGCCAGGAGCTGACGGCCAAAGGCGACGGCACCCGACGTGACGAGGATGACCTCACGACCCTGGCGCTGAAGTTCGGCGACCTCTTCAATGATAGAGGCGAGGCGGCCGAGAGCGAGGCCATACTCGTCGGTACGGGTAATGACGGCCGAGCCGAGCTTGATGACCACACGGTTGCATTTCCGTGGATCGGCAATTTCCGAGCGGTGCTTCACGCGGTGAAGGTTACGGATGGCCAGGACCGAGGGCGAGGCCAGCACAGATCGGCGCGGTGCCGCCGTGAAGGCGGAGGACAGAGCCTTGAGCAACATGTTTCACAGTCCTGCGATTGCAAGAGAGGGAAAGGGAAAAGGCAAGCCAGTGGTGAGATCAGAGCCGGCAAGTCAGAAAGGCGGCATCAAGTGCACAAGTGCAGAGGCCTGTGCAGCCAAAAACCCTCATCGGCATGGGGCACATGCATGCGGCAAGTCAAATGCAACTTGGAAAACCAACAACACATGTGTCCAGAAGAAGGGGTCACTAACAGTTGAGAAATCAACCAATAACTAAAGGCACGCTCAGCGTGTCACTCGTGTTGAGAGAGGGGAGATGTGTTTGAGAATGGCCGAGCTGGCTACAGATGGGCCTCAAGGGCGACCGGGAAGAAGAGTCAGGGGAAAATTGGGGGAAAGTAGAGCCCCGAGGGGGAAGGAGAAAGAAAATGCCACTCAAGTCATGTGGAACAGACCGTGCCGAGAGCTCGCTCGGTGGCCACGAGGCAAGGCCGCGAACAGAACGCAAGGTGATGCACGCAAACAAGAAAACGAAGGAACGAGCGCCAAAAGAGTACGCAGAAAAGCCACCGAGCCCAAAGGTGGACGACTGTCTACACCGGGGTGCAGGGTGCATGGATAAGGCGGGGGGGGGGGGGGAGAGGGGGGAGGGGGGTGCTGTGGGCTATGGCGCGCCGTGGTCACCACGACCAGTTCATTTCAAACGAAGGCGGGATGCTGAGACCCACAACCGGAAGCAGAAGAAGAACCAGAACCAAGTCGAAGAAGCAGCCGTAAGCCGTTGTGAAGCAGATGAAGAAGATCAAGCTGAAGAAGAGGTGGGAGCCGATTCAGACGTAAGGGGACAAGGGAGACAAAAAGGGGAAGAAACAAAAGACAAGTGGGGGGTCGAAGAAACACAAGACCAGTCGCAAAAAGTGGTAGTATTTTGCAGCGAGAACAGGAGAAGTTGAAGTTCCCAATGAAGGCGTAAGTTAAAAAGATGCACGGCCATGTGTGGTTATTGTCGGACAAGGATCACATTCCTGTCATGACAAAGAGAAAGAACAAAAGAAGAAGAAAACACACACACACATACACACACACAACAGGGGCCGAAGAAAAACAACAAGTGAAAGCAGAGCAGGATCACTAACTCAACATGCTGCTGCACTGCCGTCTGCCCTTGCGGTGTCCTCTTGTGTGTGTGTGTTTGTGTGCGGTGTGTCTGTGTGTGTCTGTGTGTGAAAAGAAAACAATGTCTCGGCAGAACGAGTCGGGACGACAGGCATGACGAAAAGCAAATGGAGGACAAGTGAACACGGGCCATAACGCCACATACACACACACAGAGCCAGTGATGGACCCCAAGCGGCAAGGGCTTGATTGAGCCACTGAAACAGGTGCACAGCTGGTCGTGGTGGCACAACAGCACCCACCCAGTGCTCTCACAAAACAAGGAAGATCTGGCTCACAGACACGCGCGGGAAGCGTGCATGACATGCTCACAGGCGGACGGTTGGGGAGTGAGCATTGGACCATCAAAACTCACCAAAGCTCTGCAGACTCCGATTGTGAAAAGTGAGCAGCACGAGACAAGTTACAAGTATGCTGTGTGAACAACACCCACTGATCTAAACCACCCCTTGCAGTTTGCGCTTGTGTGTGCGTGCGAGCGGGTTTGTGCAGGCAGAGAACACACACACACACACACACACGGCGAGCGTCTCTCATGAAACCAAAGTGTGATCGATGGCACACAATTCAGTGACAATGGAACGATTGCAGCAAGTCGGGCTTGCTGGGGTTTCTTGTCAGCATGTCAGATCATTGTCAGCAAGGTTTACCTCTTTCTATAAATAGCCGGTTTAGTATTGGACTCCCGCCAAATTTTGAAATTGTTGAGCTGGATGAGCTTGTGTGCAAAAAAAATACACATTTGCCGAGCAGAGCAGTGGCCTTGGAGTGCATTCTTCACCCCGACGCGCCCTCGAGGTTGACTTGTTCTGCAAAAAGTTGAAGCAGTGCTGTCGCTCTGCCCAAACACGATTGCTCGCCGCTGACCACCTGCCAGGATGGAGGATCTCATTCAGAGCCTGCAAAGCTGGGTAAGACAAACCCCCCCCCTCGTGTGCTTGTGAAGAACATCTCATGCTTGCGTCGCCAGCTCACGCTTTTGGACTCGCAACGTTCCTGCCAGCTCCGGGTGGTATCCAAGGGCGAGGTGGAGCATCTATCCGATCTCTGCGATGGCCGCAACCTCCTGTCTTGGTCCACGGCCATGTCAGTCCCCCTCCCCCAACCAACCAACCAAGCCCACGCGTATGCTTTGTATCTCACGAGGATTGCTTTGCCCAACATCACTCATCGCATGACAGAGTGGGCGCCGAGCCTGTGACTGCAGAAGGCGAAACGGCTTTTGGCGTAGTTATCGAGCAGCTCAGTGATTTTTTGCAGCTCCAAAATCTCGTGGATCACGTCAGCGTCTCTGCTGCCGTTCAAGGCAATGAATTTGAGCTCTGCAAGGTCTGCTCCGAGCCTTGACCCCGGCACAGCGGCTCATGTGCGCTCTCCAAAACCGTGCACACCAAACTCAATCCCCAACTCGATTGTAACCCCCCTGCAGATTCTCATTGTCCTGGTCTGCGCTGCAACCGACCCGTTTGCTATGACCGATGACTTTGCCATGTACGTTCAGTCCTTGAGCTCTAGTCGCAGCACCGTTTGCTCAATTTCAGGGTGACGTGGCCCGTTGCCTCACACGACCAGCTTATTTCAAAACTGCACCTGCCATGCTTCCACAGGGCAACGGCTGAACTGGAGGACCACGAGTGTAATTGCATCGACAACTTTCGCTCTCAGCTGGAGGTCAGCTTTTCGACTCATTTGCGGGTGAACTATACCCCATGGCCGTGCCTAACCTCTTGCATACTCTCCTCGTGGGGCAACCGCCATAGTCGTCGCTCCGGCCACCCCAGCAGGGTGAGACTGCACACAACGACGTTGAGCCCTGCGAGGCTGACAAAGCCGAGCTGCCTATGCCTGCGTCACCAGAAGCAGCCACACATTCCGAGCTCAAAACGGAAGACGCCCATGCCACCGAGTCAATTGCCTTCTGCCTGGACTCGAGCGTCATTGGCACCAGCGACGGGCGTTTGGGCCTCGACGCCACGCCGCACTCTCTGCAGCGCAAACTGGCCGCCATCTCTCCAGGCTCTGATCGCTCGACGGTTCCTCGCGGCTTTCATACCCCACTGCGAGAGTCCCTTGCCCTGCGAAACATCCGCAAGAATCTTGCCGATGGCCAAGCTTTCTCCCCCGACAACAGGCGTCAATCGGTCAGTGCCCCACACAATCAAAACTCGACATTGGTCATAACATGAGATGCTACACAATCACATCAGTGGCTTCGAAGCACGTGGTCTGCAAGGCGGCCTGGACTTGATCCTCCTGAAGCTTCCATGTACTCAATGGCGCTGATGCCTCTTGAACTTTGTCCCGCTCAGATGTATGCCGAGTCCAACAGCATCAAGCTGCTACAAAATCAGCTCGAGCACGCATATGCGGAGCACGATGGCATGTGCTCAGAACTGGCTAACCGCAACGTGGAGATCCAGCAGCTACGCGAACAGGTTGAGTTTTCCCCCACGCTCGCTCTGCACCACATTGGTTGGCATCACGCTCATTGCCTGCCACTATGGAGCTTGCTGATATCCACCCACCCCAACACATCGTGTGTGCACTTGCTCATTGCGCGCAGCTCAAAGACAAGCAAGAGCTTGAAGAACAAGTCATGCTACTGCAGGATCAGCTCGACACGTTGCGAACCCAGTCCTCTCGGGATGAACGGTTCGTTTGCATTGCGTCTACTAACGAAATACATGATTCGATACTGGCTACGAGGAGAAGTCCAGCGCAATGCCTTCATGCCTGCTTCATTTCAAGCCGCTGATCCTGATTCCACTGTGCACGTTTGCTTCCACGGACCATCCGCAGCTTGCGCACTGAGTTACAAACCCTGCGCGATCGCACCACCGACCTGCAGGATGCCAACTCGGCCTTGCTTCAAGAACGGGATTCTTTGCGAAACCACGTTGACAAGCTGCAGTCGGTCGAGAACAGCTGCCGCGACTGGGAGAATCGCCACAAGGAACAACGTGCCAAGGTCACCCAGCTGCAGGTGGACAAGGCCGAGCTGCATGCTCAGCTTGAGGCCAAGCGTCATCAACTAGAGGCAGCGGCCAATCGACAGCAACAAGACAGCGCCACGGTTGAAAAGCTTCGTGGTGAAATTTCTGCCCTCAAGGTGCGAGATTGGTGACTGACCTTCAGAGGTCAAAGGCTTCCTGTTGCGACACTGTCCCTCACTCATGCCAATGCACACCAATGCGGCGCAGGGAGAACTGCAAGCCAGCAAGTTTGTTCAACACGAGCAGCCCAACTGGAGCGAGCGCCAACAACTCGAAGGCCAGCTCGAGGCCCTTCAGAAAGCCAATGCCAGGTACGTCCAAGAACCAAGTCGCTTCTCGTTCTGCCCGCCCCCATTCTCAACGCGATGGTCAAGCGCAAAAAAAAAAAAAAAAAAAATGTTTATAATTGGCTAAGTTCGGGCGTCAAATTTCTCTCGATAGTTTGCAGGCTGATCTTGAGGCAGCCTCAGTCCGCCCAAGTCAAATGGCTCAGGTTGAGGAGGAACTGCTCGATGCTGTTAGCCTCAATCGTGCCCTTGAAGAGAGCGTCGCCGCCCGTGAGACCAAGGTGGGCTGCTTGTGCCCTGGTTGCTGTCGCTGTTTTTTTCCACGTTTGCTGTGCTGTTGTGCGTTTTTTTTTCGGCTCGTGCACACAGTTGCTCGGGCAACCCTTCACTCGAACTTGCATGGCCTCGATATGGAGGACAGATTGCAGAGATGGAGGTGACAATGGATGAACTTCGCAACCAGCTGAGCATTGCACAAGATTGTCTCCAGGATGAGCAGCAGCGACATGAACTCACACAGCTCAAGCTCACCGAGACGCAAACCGATCTCCAGGCAGCTCAGCGAGCGACGACTCGTGAAAAGCAGGCACGAGACGCCTTTGAGCATGAGCTCCTGCTCAAGAACCGAGCCATCAAGGATTTGACAGATGACCTACAGCAGGCTCACGCCCAGCGACAAAAACTGCGCACTCAGCTCGAACAGGCAACTGCCAATGCTGATCGTGTGGCAGATGTCCGCGCTCTGCAACAACGACTTGAGGATGCCCACGCTACTCACCGTGCACAAATGGAGAAAAAGGAGCGTGAAATCAAGGCCCTTCACAACAGTCTCTTGCAGTTCCAGATCCAGTTGAAGCGTATCCAGGAAAGCCGCAACGCCTCGCGAGCAGCTTCCCCAAAGGCTGCACCCGTGTCAGCCCAACAGCAGTCCTCTCCACTTCACCGCAGCGAATCGCCGGCACCCGTCAGCACCGTTGATAGCAAGGCTCGCGCGAGCGTGGCAAACACCACTTCTGCTGTGGGACAGGCATTCGCCACGTGTGCCAGCCCCGCACTGGCCTCGCCCCGTGTTTTGCCCCCAAACCCCACTGCTAGCCGCAAGACGTGGGGAGCCTCGAAGCCCACGACACAAGTAGCACCCGGTATGCTGAAGACTCGCTCTCTCTCTTTCTTCTCTGTCTCTCTCTATTTCTTATGCTTGGTCCTGTGGCTTGCAGATACGGCGGGGCGTGATCATTATCGACGCACGGATGCCGAGCGTCTGCAGGAGCTTGAAACTCGCAATGTGAGTCCAGCCCAGGCCCAAGGCAGGAGTAGATACAATCCCTACCCACGAACCTATGTGGCCACCAAACTGACCTTTCTTGACGCTGTTTGAATTGGCAATAGCTCAAGCAGAAACCTCACCTGCGCTCTTCTCACTTTTTGGAGACAACTCAATTCTTTTCTCCTGACAAGCGTTGTCGCTCACTGAAGAACGCTGTGGCTGCGGAAGAGGCCTTTAGCGCAAGCCAGCGCGGACTCCCAAAGCCCCTCGCCCTGAACATGACTCTCGATGCAGCGCCCTTGATTTCCGAGCCGGCTACCCAGCCCGAAGCTCCCATGACTTCCGTGCCTGGTACGTCCTCGTCCCACCGCCCCATTGATGACAAAGCACGCTCTCTACACACCCGTACGGTCAATGTGGCAGTATATTTCAAACACACAGCGCACCATTCACGATATTGTGTTGGATTGTTGGATAGTGCCCAAGGCCGAGGCATTTGAAATCAAGTTTGATGATGATAGCGAGGCCAAGACCAAGCCAAAGCCAAAGGTACAACATTATGCCAGCTGCCAGCTGCAAAGCTAGTTGAATTGCAACCTTAATTGATTGTGCCTCGAGGGTCGTATCGCAAGTGTGTTGCTTATGCCGGTATTTTCAACTTGCATAGACACGAGTGCTGCGCGAAATCAACGGCTTGAGCTCGACACGCCTCCCCCGCAAGCCGGCCAGTTCGCTTCGCACATCGTCTGCCGTGCCCGCCACGTCCAGCTCGCTCGTTGCGTACGCCGATAGCCCTACACATTGAAGCGTGACCAAGCGCAGGCGATGACCCTCCCTCCTCCGCCGTTGTCGTTCGTGGTTTGCCAGCACGTGTCGCTTTTCGTCTAATTTGTCTTTCGGCTATTTTAATTTCTCCTTGCTTTTCATCTTGAGTTTAAGCTCTGCGGTGTACGGGTCCAGATCATGCCCTTCTCCGTTTGGCGGTCACGATTAACATGTGACGTTATCCGTAATTGGTCCCTCCTTTGGCCATGGTTTCTTGGTCTTGAAGCTGACGTTTTATATTGATTGTGAGAAAGCTAACTTCGTTTTGTTCTCAAACGAGCAAATTTACGTGAAACCTTTCATATGATGTGAAAGTCCTCTTGGAAATTGTACATATTCGATGGAGGTCAACGCCGATGGGCCACTGCACAGGAAGCCGCCACACCTAGAAGCCTCACACGGCACCGCTCTCCTGGACATGGCCGTGAAAAGGAAAACAGTCAATGCTTTCAAATGGAAATTTTTTTTTTAAGAAAAGGATAAAAATTGTTCGAAATTCGTGATTATTAAATTTTTTTTTTATGATCTCTCTCGGAATCCTCAATCATGCGGGTTCGGACCGTGACGGCGTTTGCGCAGATTGGTACGAGCGGGGATGCGCCCGAGGTAGTGGCACGCTGTGCAGCGGCGTTGGATGTCGTCAGCGAGGCGGTGCAGGGGAGTGGATTCGAGGTGCAGACCCGTCGTATTGCATTTGGTGACCCCCAGGCTTGGCTCGACTGGTCAGATGAGGGTCGGCTGCTGGCTCAGCTGGGGGTCCTCGATCGTGCCTTGGTGGCCCACGACATCCAGTTTTGCAGCCTAGGATGCCTCATGCACGCATCCGCACAGATGGTGCAACTTGTGCCGGCCGTGCTGGGTTTTTCACCTCGCTTCAATCTCAGCTTGGATTTACCGCCAACGGATCACGCGCTGGCCACAGCCGTCGCACACGTCGTCATGGAGTTGGCGCAGCACGACGTGATGAGCAACTTTCGATTTTGCACAACCGCTTGCTGTGATGTGGGATTGCCCTTTTTCCCAGGAGCCTCAGCACCCACCAACGTGGCGCTTGGATATGTGACGATTGCCCTCGGGCTGGAAAACGGAGATCTCTTGCAAACGACCCTGCGTAGCGCTCAAAAGCTGTCTGGAATTAGCAAAGCCATGCGCGAAGTGTTTTTGCCACCACTCAAGCAACTTGAGGCAGCAGCTCAAGCCGCGGCCTCAAGGGCTGGAGTCCAGTATGCGGGCATTGACACCAGTCTCAATCCGTCACTGGACCCTGGCCTCTCTGGCAGTGTGGCAGCGGCTTTTGAGAATTTGATCGAAGTGCCCCGTTTTGGCGGGGCCGGCACCTTGGCTGCTGTGGCCGAGGTGACTCGTTCCGTGCAGGCCTTACCCGTGCAGCAGACGGGATACCGCGGGCTTATGCTTCCATTGTGCGAGGATCGCCAGCTGGCGCAACTGGCCACGGCTGGTCAGCTCTGCGTCCAGCAGCTGCTCATGTTCAGTGCGGTCTGTGGGGTGGGTATTGACACAGTGCCCATCCCAAGTGACACATCCATAACAGAGTTGGCCAGTCTCTACCTTGATGTCAGTGCTCTGGCACATCGCTGGACCAAGCCGCTGAGCTGTCGCGTGTTCCCGGTGCCTGGCTCGACGGCGGGTCAAATGACTACCTTTGATAGCCCCTACCTAGTCAATGCCTCGATCCTAGCTTTGTCCTAGTGGGCAGACCCATTGCGCCTGCCCTCAAGGGCTTACAAGGCCAAAGTGCCCGAGGCACGAGACTTGGTGCAAAATTGTGTTTGTGTGTGCGTGTCCATGCCAGCCCCTGCCTGTGGGTCGCGTACGTAAGTATGAACACGGCTTAGCCTGCCATCAACTTGAGCAGGACCAGGATGCAGCGATTCAAGACTTCTTTTTCTTATTTCAAAATTGATTGGATTAGTGTTGCGAGGGTTTCGTGCTCAGCACGTCCGAAGGCGTGGAAGGCGCCGCCCACCTGCCCTCGTTTCATTTGGGGAGGTATTTGTAATTCTTACTCTGAATGGCAAGCAAACGTCACAATAGATCACATGCATGCTCAGCCGGGCACGAGGCACCCCCCTTGTTCAAGATGGCTGAGTTGTGGATGGGCTATCACTTTGACGTTGAAGTAACATGTTGTCCGCAGCCTGGCCCAGGGCAATGACCGAGGCAGTGAGCTCTTCTAGACGCCTGCCAACGAGTTGACCAGAGGCGCCATTCGCGTGCCGTGAGCAGAGTTTCAAAGTATGGTTATGACTCAAACGGAGGGCAATGCAAGGGCATGGTGATGGCTTTCAGACCATCACCATCATGCCAAGCGCGCGCGCGCGTACTCTTGGGCAGCCTCGAAGCGATGTTCATTCTGCAAGGCGTGGATGTACTATGTCAGGTCAGGAGACGGATACGCGGGCGGTGAGTCTTATTGTTGCCTTGCCACGGGTGCCAAGCCAGCCTTTGAGTGGGTTGAAGCAGTTTGTGTTGGATGGCAGGCGGCCGTCTGCATCACCTACGCGAATGAGGGCAACGTTTCGGTCCAGGTCTGCCTGAAGCTGCTCATGGCTCAGTTCACCCTAGTAGATGGCCCGATGAGTCTTCACTGTCAGAAACAAAGCACATAATGTTGTACTTGAACATCCTCAGCAGCGGTCTCACCTCTGGTGCAGACGCCACGCGCTCTTCTCCTGACGAAGCCATTCTTCGCCCTACAGCTCACAGCACCCACCCCCTGACGTTGAGAGAACACAGAGAGAGAGAGAGAGAAAGAGAGAGAGAGAGAGAGAGAGAGGAAAAAAACGGTCAGAAAAACTCTTGTCATCACACAAACTGGTTTGTCTGACATTTGAATTTCGTCTTGTGTTTTAGTGTTGACTTTCTTTAAATTTTTCTTTTTTTTGGATGAGTTTTGTGTGAGTGGTTGTTAGGTTGGCAAGTGATGCCGCCGGTGCGGTGCGGGTCTGTCGGTTTGTGGCTGCGAGGGAGCGGTGTTGGAGGCACGGGGCCGGTGTGTGGTAGCTGGTGGGGTGAAGGTTTCAATTGGGGAATCAGTGGGGACGGTTGCATCAGTTTTCGTTTCTGTGAGCGCTGGCAGCAATGTTGAAGTGCGGCGACTGACTGGATTCCCCTGTGCAGCGGTTTGAGCAAGCAGCGTAGACACAGCACCATGCCAAACGTCTTGCTTGAGGTAGACGGCGCGCAGGTGGCATTGGCCACTTCATCCGATAACGCACACGGCCCAGAGAATATCATTGACGGGTATGCCGCCTGCTCAGTCATCAAAGCTAATGCGGCCTCAGCAACTCGCCAAAGCTCATCCATATCCCATGCTCATTGGCAGCAACGAGGATACATTTTGGGCCACAACGGGCATTTTCCCCCAAGAGGTCATTATTTCACTTCCCACAACCATGCGCATCACCTCGCTACAAACACGGACTGCTGGCGGTAAGCTGCTCTCGTCAAGCCCTAACCCCTAACCCCCAACGCTGAAACATCTCACTCCTCTTGACCCAGTGCGCACGCTAAGCGTGCAGAAGACGGCCAACAACAACCCTGTTGGCTGGGAGGAGATCGCCTTGTGCGGTAGGTCCTGCGCCGTTTTATTGCTGTGCAAATCACTGCTCGCCACCCAGCGCCTGCTTGATTCGTGTTTCTTGTTAGATCTGCCCTCGTCAGACACTAATGTGCAAATGGAAGATCATAAGGTATGGCGAGCACATGAGCATCCTGGCCTAAACCCACAGGGGTGGCGCAACGCTAGTCATCCCTTAGCCTTGAGCAGTCGGTCTCTGGTCCCTGCTCACCCCGTTTCCCCCACATGCGCACCCGTCTCGTTTGCCCGAGAGTAGATTACGCCAACCATGGTGCGCCACCTGCGGCTGGTACTCAAGAGCGGTCACATGCCATTTGCAGCCGTGTATGGCATCAAGGCCGACGGCCTTCCTGTCGAATAGACTGCCCAAACATGACTGCCGAGGCCACCAATGTCGTCTCACCTACATGCTAATCCCTTTGTCGTTGTCGTCCAACTCCTGATTTCATGAATTTGAAATGCGATTGATCCCACCAACCTCTGCTTCTCGAGCAGTTCATCTTTTCCCTTATGCCTTTTGCTCCACCCTTTCCTTTTCATCCAAGATCCTGCGGACATATCCACGGCTCGGAGCAAATACTTTCCCCCGCGCAACAACCACACCTGCGACTGCCACGCCGCAGCTCCCCCGCCCCCTCCACCCAAAACCAAACCATACAACACAATGTGATCAGATTTCGTTGATTTCGTTTCACACACAGTTTTGCTAATTTTCAACTTTTTTTTCGCTTTTTTCTAAACAGCAAAACCGCCAGTCATAACTTTAGAGCTGAATGGAACGCTTTATGATCAACCTCGGCTCCAGCTCTCCGCGGGCCTCTGGCCTTTTTAAGTGGTCGCTTTCTTGATACGCTAGCGCGTGGGGGCACGGGGAGCTATCCATCCGTGTTGTTGTGGCTTGGGGTTGGCGAGGGAGGCCTCGTGCATTTGATTCTTGGTTCTCGGGCTTGCCATTTCGATGACACTATTCTGGCGCCATCCCTGTGCGCGCAGACCGAGCAAGATATGATAGTATGCGAGGTGACAGGTACAGCTTGAATGAAGCTGGCCATCGTCGACGCACGGCCAAATCAGACTAGTGCGGCAGCATGCGCCTCTCCCTGCGGCGCTCGAGCACGGCACTGGCTGCCTTGGTACTTTTCTGCATCGTTGGTGCATATCTGCGCGCCAACTGGCCTGCTGTGCTAGAGGCAGGCGGGGCCGTGACCAAGTTTCGGCACGATGCAACAGCAGTGCCTTGCCGCGACGTCCACGTCGTTTCTTGCAGCGAGCAGCCGCTGCATGTCGGCATGATTGCCTTGGGGGATCAAGCGCCCAGCGAGCTCTACCGCGTGCTCAAGGACGTTGTTGCGCGCCGCTCGTGTCCCCTCGTGCTGCACGTGGTGTGTGACCCCACCACGTGTGAGGCCGTCGCGGCCCTCAAGCAAACTTGGCCCCTTGCTGGCGTTGAATGGCACGCACATCCAGCAGATGCTGGGCAAGCACGTGTGGCGTGGATCCCTACTCTGCACAAGGCTGGGTGGGTGGCCCACCTTAAGCTTGTCTATCCGCAACTCTTACCACAAGTAGCGCAGCTGGTGGTGATCGACCTTGATCTCCTTGTGCAGGCCGATCTCTGTCAGTTGGCTGGTATCCTTGCAGATCACCCCAAAGCGCTTTTTGCTGCTGTGCCCCAGCAGAGTGATTGGTATTTGGGTACGCTGCCTGACACACGTGAAAATGTTGTCTGGCCTGCTATCGAACGTGGGCTCAACACGGGCGTGATGGTCTTGCATTTGGAACGGATGCGGGCCTGGGGCTGGGATCAACGCTGGCAAAGCCTTGTGCGTCGCGAGCTGTTGGTCCGCCACCACACCGGCTTGGCCGATCAAGACGTATACAATCTCGTGGCACTGGAGCATCCCGAAACCTGGACAATGCTCTCCTGCGCATGGAACGTACAGCTTCACGATCATAGCGTGACTCAGCACTGCGATCAACCCAGCCATCTACTCGCCAATGCGCGCGTTCTCCATTGGAATTCGCCCAAGAAATACGATGCAGCTTTTGCAGAGGCGACGTACGTGCGATCCTTGCTGGCTGCGGCGGAGGCCCACAGCGGCTTGGCCGCCTCAGCCCAGTTTACGCTGCGTTGTCCAGGCTATGACGCGGGGGGCAGCTCTTTGAGTTTGGCCTGGGCCGCAGTCGATACGAGCTGGGCTGGCGAGGATCCGGCCGCTCGAGCTGATATTGTCGAAGGGGGTCATCTGGATGAGAATAACCCCGCAGCGACCCGGGCGCCAGGCTGTGGGGCCATCGAAGCTGCCAATACGCGGTCCCTGCGCGTGCTACCCAATTATCGACGCCTGGTCTGGCGGCGGCAGATTTGGCAATGCCATCCAGTTGCACAACCAGACGGGCCTGGTATCTTTGTGCGGGCGCGCACCAAGGCCGGTGCCGCGCAACGGGCAGCCTCCATGCTCAGCAGCAATGTCGGGGCAATTGACTGTGCTCCTCAGGGTGCTTGGAACGATGCAGCACGGATTACGCTAGTCACGCATCTGACTCCTGATCGCTTGGCGGCGCTCCAGCAGACCCTGCATCAATGGGATGGACCTGTACATGCCGCCGTGTATCTGGCTGATGCTGATTTGTGGCGCCTGCGGCAATTTCTCGAACAAGTCGCAACGCTCGAAGCCATCAACCTGACACTCCACGTGGCCTTTGAAGACGGCGGGCGGCGCTATCCTGTGAATCATCTGCGCAACCTCTTGCTCGACCACGTCACCACCTCGCATGTGTTTATGGCAGACGTGGACCTGTGCCCGCTAGCCGGCAGCCGAGCACATTTGGAGCAGGCCTTGTCAGCAAGCGCAACAGGGTCGGCACAACGTGTGGCGCTGGTGGTACCGGCCTTTGAGTACGTGGGCTACCGTGCTCCGACCTTTTTGAGCCTGACCACGGTGCAAGACTTGGACCTAGCTGACATTCGACCCTTTCGGGTGGACGTGTGGCCCCGTGGGCATGGGCCGACCAACTACACGCGTCTGCAAAGCGCCAGTGATTACTATCAAGTTAGCTGGGCGCCTGGCTACGAACCATATGTTGTGCTTCGCACAGCCACAGCGCCTCGCTATCCAGAAGCGCTCGCTGGGTTTGGCTGGAACAAGGTGGTGTATGCTTCGGCGTTGCACCGGCAGGGATTTGACTTTATAGTGGCGGCAACAACGGCTCTTGTACACCTGCCGCACGGTCCATCCCGTGATCTAGCCAGCTTTCGCTCCGACCAGACTTTGCACGACTGTACATGGGCCATTGCAGAGACCCTCGATCCATCCGTGGCGGCCCTTCGGGCCGAGCTGACTCAGAATGAACCCGCAGATCAAGCGCCTGCACCGCCACGCGCGGATGGCCCCAATAATGCTCGGGCTGCTCAAATCGAGCGTCTAGCTCGCAAGCGCGCCCAACGTCGCCTTGGCGCACGTATGTAATGTGGTCGCTGCGCACCTTTTATAGAGTCCAGAATCGATGCGTTAAATTTTTTTGCCACAATCCATCGTGGCTGCACTCTCTCTTCGCCTTGCAGCTGGACTGACCAGCTGGTACGTGTTTCATCATCAATTCTCAAAGGGTGTGCCAGCACAGCTGGACGATTTGTCAATGGAAAAAAAAAAACACGTCAAAAAGAGAGGAGAGAAAGTCATATGAACTCGGTTCAATCGAGTCGCGTGGCCGAAAGAGGAGAGAGGGAGAGGGAGAGGGAGAGGGAGAGAGAGAGAGGGAGAGAGAGAGAGCTAGTCGTAAGTTTGATCAGTCGTATTGTCGTTTTCTCCCTCGTCATCTGTGTCATCACACAGCTTGGTCTCAAGGGAGTTTTGCTCAACCGCAGCAAGAATCTCATGCAGGCGCATCCGCGTGCCTGTGCTGGCCAAAACGCCATCTGTGGCGGGCGCATCTTCATTGTCCGAGGCATCTGTTGATGCATTGCCATTCACATCAACAGCCGGCGAGAAGGTGCCAGACGTACTACGGGCCAGCGCTGTACCAGCCCCGGGGTACGTCACCCGCGAGCTGAAGCAGGAACAAGCACACAGCGCACGCAGAGTCAGCGAGGGCCTTGGCAGATGCGCAGCCAAACAGCACGGTGGCAAATGGCGGCCAGGGACTAATGGCATCAGGTACACACCTTCCAACGCTGGGAAGCGCGGCACCCAGCTGGCTGACAGGGGTCTCGTGTTGGGGTGCCGATAACATCATGTGCGGCGGGCCAGCTGGTGATGACCAAGCCCCGGCGGTCGGCCCTGCAGGGTCCAGTGAAACCATTGTCAAAAGACGGCATCACGCACGCAATGGCGGAGAGCAGTGCACAAAGACCTGGAGGGGGGAAGGCACCTGGTGTAATAAGAGCGGGGGTACCGTTGTTGGGGGCGTTGGCGGGGTGGGTATTTGGCGTGGCCAACGGGGTGCGCCGTGGCTGTGTCATGGTGCCGCTCGTGGCATTATCCTATGCGCAATTCACAAACAGGGTAACCGGTAGTATGTTAACAGGTCAGGCAAAATGACCAACACGCCACCATGATTGCGTTTTAGACGGTAGTCAACCCACCCAATGTGTGGAGTGGCTCGGCGAGTCGGCTCGAATGCTCTGGGAGGGAAGGGCTGGTTCCGGGTACTCGTTTTCATGTTCAAGGGTGGCCAGGACAAAGTCGATACTCATGTCTGTTCTTTGTTGGCTGAAGATGATGGGTCGCCCAGAATGATCAAAGTGACAGGTCATGGGCTATATCAACCACGCAAACAGCGTTCGTGGTGAGCAAGATCTCAGAGTGGCAAACACGGGGAGCGAGTTTGGCTGTACACGGGCACACCTCATTGAGTGAGTCAAGGAAGGAGAGCAGCTGCTTCAGCGCTTGCAGGCAGAAGACAAGGCGGGTGGGGCGTAAGACTTGATAGGTCAGAAACTCGGATGAGTGTAGTTCCAACTTTGTTTTCAAGCTTGGTCTGTTCAATCAAGGGAGAAAATAAAAAAACAAAAACACGTGTTTGGTGAGGCACTGCTGCACCCGAGCATGTGTGGTGGGGCCAGGTGGCGGCATTTCAGTCCAAAGTGCGCGTTTGCTGAGATAAAGCACTCACTTGTTCTGGTCTTCTTCCACCTCTATGTAGTTTTCCAATGTGAACTCGCCCGCACCCTCAGACGAGCTACTGGCCGTCTTGACGTCGAAGCAAATTTCTTCTAGGCCGCTTTGGAAATTGGCAACGGCCTCGAGCAAAAGACGAGGATTGTTCTCCAACACATTTCGGCAGTCAGTCTTGCTGTAGACCACCTGCCAATCCGTTCCCATGCCAGCGCAGGCATTTTGGTTAAGCCTTGGAATCAGGCGCGAAAGACCGTCCCTCCCACCAAAAGAACATGCAGAAGTCGCGCCACCTGACGATGTAGCGCATGGCTTCATGATCAGACTGCCTACTCCCTGAGAGAACGAACCGTAACGTCATCAAAGTCCTCGTAATAGAGGTTGTATGTCTTGACAATATCTATGACGCAGGGCATGCCCAAGCCAACAAAAGGGCCAGAACGAGCGAATGTGTGAGCTGTCTTGCTGCGCATCGTTCTGGCTGTGATTTTGCTCGAGGCACGGTTGGAATTGAGGTACCGAAAAAGCAGATGAGCTTGATGACGAGGCGCGCTTGGACCACGTCGAGGGTGAGTTGGCACAGCTGCACGGTCTTGTCAATGTTGGTCAGCGATTTGAAGGCAGCCAACACGGCTTTGGCGTTGATGCAGCAGCCAATTGAGCCCGTGGCAGCGTCGCGGGCGCGCAGCTTGAAGTGTTCAAAAAAAGGCTCATGGAAAACAATCCGCGCAAAGGCATTTCGGGCCTGGCTCACAGTCTTGAGCTCCAGCTGCACGCCACACAATAAGTGACAAGACAAGACACGTCAGTGACTCGACAGTTTCGAGCGCAGAGGCGCAGGGTCGCGAGGAGGCCCACGGGGAAGCGGGTATGGGCAGGCAAGAGCGGGTGCTTGGCTTCATTCAAAGCTTACCGTCGTATCCTTGGCCTCAAGATGCAGGTCCTCGCCAATACGAGCCACACATTGAATGGCCTTGGCAAACACTAGTCGGTGTCATTCACAGCGTGTCAGGTGCTCGTGCTCGTCAAAACTACGGCATGCATTTGATTGCATTTACCTTTGAGTTCCGCGGCACGAAGCGAGGCCTCCATGGCAGCGCTGTGTGCTCAGCCCAGTCCCACGACCCTGCAGCACCACGTCTCGTATACCGCCGCCGTCACGACAGAAGACGTCTACAACACGATCGCTCTCTGCTTCCTTTAGACTGGAAAATGCGGACAACCCACTTGTAACGTCCAAAAGAGTTTTGTAAAAACATGTTTGAACATGTTTTTTTCATGCGCCTGTTACAAACAGACAGGAGAAGAATTTGAAACCGTTCGATTCTGTGGCAGCGTCAACTTTTTTGATATGAAGAGCAAGCTTATGTATGATGTGGCAGTGCAAATGGCGGTAGCAGCTTTTGGTTGTTGCGAACGCCGTCCCTGAACATCCAGTGGCTGGCGAGCTCTCTTGGGCACTACTTGAAAAAGTCCTCGTTGTCGTCGTCGTCCTGATCCTCCACATCGTCTTGGAACAGATTGGGCATGGGAAACCGCAGCACAGCGGCCACACCCGTGATGTTGTCAAGTTGCTGGCCAGACACGTGCATGCTTGAGAATATCCTGCAGAGGTCGACCCGCATGATCCCACACGGAATGGGCAGTCACGATGAGCGGTCGGTTTGCTTGCAAATTCCACACAGTGGCAGGCCGACAAGTTTCGTGCATCTTCCCGGCCTCCTCCCTCGAGACTCACCTGACGGTCCCGCCTTGGTCCTTGACGGTCTCGACCAGGTTGACGTACTGCTTTCGCACACCCACATCACGCGATCTATAGTCATGGCCGGTGGCACATGGTGGTGACGGTCACCTTCCGATGGGACTCGAACAAAAATAGTCGCACAAGCCTGCTGCCGCCGGTCAAGGGGAGAGGGCTGTTGGGGTTACCTTAAGAGCGTGTCAGAGAGGAGCAAGGTGTCAATGGCGAGGGCGTCGCAGGCAGCCGCCACATGCGCCCAGCCATACACGGCGCGGTTCTCGTCCTCGGCCAGCATCTTGTGAAAGCGATCCAAGGCTGCAACTTCCGACACAGCCTTGGAAGCGCAGTGCCGTCGACAACACGTTGTTGAGTTTGGTTGCCTTTGACACTCTTGGCAACAATTGACGACCGTTGTCATGTGCCTGGGAGCAAGTCACCATACCTTGGTGTTGGCCATTTGATTGGCAATGGCGGGGGATGCCAGTGCCTCTGCATCCGCCACGAAAAGAGGCAAGGAGAAAACAGCACGCAATATCAGTGCAGTTTATTCTTACTCCCCCCCACAGCACGGCTGAAGAGGGGCAGGGTGTGTGTGTGTTTTTGGGGGGGTTGGGGGGGGGGGGGTTTGGGGCATTCTGTACATGCCCGGCCCGAAGCCTACCTTTCAGACCACCAAGATCTCCAGTAGAGGTGTGAACAGCCAAAAATTTGTGCATATTGTCGCGCAAGACTGCGTCATCGTGACGGGTGAGATAACTCTTGGTATAGGCCAGAAACTCCTCCTAAAGGGGGCACGGTAGCGGAGAAAGACATCACCCACATGGCGTACATCAGCAAACATCGAAAGAACAAGCAGGGACGGGCTCAAACGCGCGTCTTCGGGTCCTCAAAGGCACGCATGACATGCCGCCTGAGCTAGCACATCAGAGAGCTATAGCGGTCCCATTACTCCCAAACCTCCCGTTCGGGCACGTACGCGATGAAATCCTGGAGAAGCAACAATGACTAGTTTGACGACATCAAAGCGAATGTGGCGATGAATGGCCTCGATGATCTGGTGATATAACTTGTCAACGGCCTGACAGCCCGCCCCCACGGGATGGGCCCGAACCCACGGCCACAGTCAGTCTTGTCCGAGGTGCGCAACAAGAACGGCAAAAGCAACAGCAACAGCAACAACAGTCGATCGAGCAAAAATACCTTCTGGCGCTGAGACTCATTCATCACACGCTTTTTCGGGATGGAGACTTCGATGCGCTGACGCACAAGCGTCAGGTTGGTGCCCAGAAGACACACGGTGGCTTGGCCTAACCAGCAATGATAGATTTGAGCAGGGGTTGGAACTGTTTCAGAACAGGTTTGACAGTGGGCAGCGGCCGGGACAAACCCGTGTTCAGGACAATGGCAGCTACATCGGCACGCTGGGTTTCATCCGTCATTGTGCCTGCAGCGGCAATACATTCCATCAGAGGGATGAGTCGTGCCGGCTAGCTGTAATCAATGCAATGGCATGGCGTAATGGGTGCGAGACGCACGGAGGCGCTCGATGGCTAGGCTGTCCCACTCGGGTTTGATGAGGGTAAACTTGCGGTTAAGTTCCATGTCGATGGTGTGGTGTTGTCCGCGCTACTTGAGCAACATGTCGAGGGACAAGGCCGTTTGTTGGGGCTTCGACAAGCAGCAAACTCACGGAACAAGGTTCCAGCCGAAATCGGGCACGCCCCGAACAGCAAGGTGCGGCCGCAACTTTGTCACAGTTGAAGATCGACCTCTCACCTTGACGTGCTTGTTCTCTTCAATATTGCGACCCTTGACGCGCAGGCTGCAGGCCTCCGTGTCAAACTCGACATCGAGGACCTGGCACAAGGTGTGGAGGCATTTTGAGGCTCATGGGCGCACTGTCATCGTTACTTGCGTGCATTCGCTTTGATCAAGCCCATGGGCCGGCGTACCTGAATACAGAGGGTCAAGGTCACCTTTTGGCTGGTGACCGAGCCAGTCTGTCCTTCTCGAACAACTTTCCTGTTTCAGTCGCCAGTCCCGCGCAAAATCCAGAGCGAAGGGTGAGGCGGGTGGCACTGGCACTTGAGGGACGGCATTTGGCTTTTCAAGGCATGGGGAGCAAGGGCGAGGGGTGGAAGAGCTGACCGCATGGTCGTGGCGCGGATGGCGTCACCAATTTGAATAAGATTGTAGGCCTCCCACATGTCTTCCTCTTGCTCGGGCAGGAGCGTCACCTCGCCCGTTCCATCATGGGAGTTGATATGGTTCTTCAGCAGCTTCATCTTGCTGAGATGTTCAAGCGCTGTTGTTTCTCTGCGTTGAAGGCTGTTTTACTGCGTCGCCCTCGATGGTCAGAGCACCCACTATCTCTCCCCAGGCACGGCCCGCCTTGCCTGCTCACTGCCAAAAATGGCTTCTGGTGCCTGGAGATGTGATGAAATCACTGCAAAATACACACACACTCTCTCTCTCGCTATTCCTCTGTGCTCTTTGCTCTTTGTTTCTCTCTTTCTCAAACCGACCAAACCAATTCCATCTCTGTCTTTTTTTTTTTTTTTTTTTTTTTTTTTTCTGGAGTTGTTGCTCTTGTTCATTTCCTTTGGAAACAGGTGTTGGTGAGCGCTTTCTTGGGGATGGGCAGGGGTCGTGTGATTGATGAAGACCTGAGACTGTCAGACCTTGTGGTATGCTCTCGCGAAGGAGTGTGGGACAGAGGCAGCTGACGGTGATGAGGCGATCCAGATGGTGAGGTTATTCGATGGCGAGGCGCTTGTGTTTGCTTTACTGCCTGCGGCAAAGCGAGCCCAGGGGTCCGAGGAGAAAGAGCCCACTGTGGAGGCGGGCTCGGACATGTTTCGAGTCATGCTAAGCAGGTTCAATTGGAGAAATGGCAAACAATTCAAGAAAGGGGAGCAAAGGAAATAACCGCGACAGAAGGGTCGGAGACGGTGCCAAGGGAGAGGCAAGGCCATGCTGTGCATTGGCTCAGAGGGTCTTGCTGGCAGCGGCGGCAGCGGCGGCAGTTGGCGTGCTTGTGGCGGAGCCAAGACCCATGCGCGCCAAAATGTTCTGTCCACGGGCAAGGTGGAAGCCAACGGCACCAATGTGGAGGGGCACAAAGTACTCGAGCAGGACACCGGCCTTGGTGTGGATGTTGTAGGCCTTCTTGGCAATATCTGGTCGCTTATCGTCAGCACCGGCACCAGAAATGTGGTAGCTGCCAGGTATAACGAGGCAATTTTCAAAAGGCCGAGGCGTATGCGTGAGGTTTGGGGGAAGCAAGCACAAGGTTGTTTGTCCGAGGCATAGCAAGATTCAGAGGCACTTTGGCGTACCCGAAGAAGGGAAGACCCTTGCCGCCAAAGTAGCCCATGGCCACACCAGATACGGGCATGACGATCATAAAGGCATAGAGGCTAAAGTGGCTGATGTTGCTGGCAATGTGTTCCCACTTGGCTCCGGGCACGGCGGCGGGCATCTTGGAGACCAGGCGAACGGCGAGGCGGGGCACGAGCATGCCAAGGACCAGAAGCGCGGTGGACTTGTGGACGAGCATGAGCTGGCCCTTGAGGGCCTTGTCCTTGGTCCATTGGGCACCCTTGACGGTGGCCACGCACGTGATCATGCCGGCGGCCATACCCCAGTGGAGCCATTTCATGGCTCCCGAGTAGGATTGCTGCATGGGCTGCACGTCAGTGGACATGGCACGTTTTGGCAGGCTGAACAACGGGGCACACGAGGAAGAGCACGGAAGAATCAGAAGGTAGGCGGCACGAACGAACAACGCGTGAGCACAAGCAAGCCAAACTGTCAGTCGTGGTTCAAAACAAACAACTTGGGCGGACACCAAACCAAATCAACGTAAAGGACAGGCCTGACAGAGTACGGTCGGGGTTCTTGCCGCGTTGGCAACACACCTTTGGCGCAGGGTTTGAAGGGAGGCAAAAGCGCGGGTGGGGGTGGCCTTGGCGGTCTGAAGCGAGCGCACCGCCAGTGACGAGGCCGATCGGAACAGGGAAGTAAACATCTTTAGAGGCTCCCAAGAAATGTCAAATGATCAGACTAAGGACAGAATTACTGCCATAGTGGGGGAGAAGATGGTCCAGGATGGAGAAGGGTCCACGCACAATCCAAGGTGAGGGCATACTTGTACGTGCAGGTGACAGTGGTGCTTCTCGTGTGGCGAGGCCAGCACATGCGTTTGGTTGCGGAGGCAGCGCGCAGCCAAGTCCGTAAAATGTACACTCTCGAGCTCGTGCCAATGCCTTTGGTGCACCAAGCGCATGGTATTCGGGCCATTTTTTCTATCTTACTTGGCCCTCCCCGCCCCGCCACGATCGCCATCACCGCTACTGCCATCCGGGCACGTACCTGCGATCAACTCGTTGCGAGAAAAAAAAAATGTGTTGAAGAAAAAATTGTCAAACATCAAAAAAAAAAAAAAAAAAACCACATCGGGGAAAGAAAGAGAGAGAGAGAAAGAGGAGAGATTAGATTTAGAGATTAAGAGAGAGAGAGAGAGAGATTTAGAGAGAGAGAGATTTAGAGAGAGAGAGAGAGAGAGAGAGAGAGAGAGAGAGAGACATCGTCACCTCGCGTCATCTTCTTCATTCATCATTCGAAAATTTTTCTCTCTCTCTTTTTTTAACCTTTTTTTTATTTTAAAAAAACCGGTTGTCATCAAAATTTGAGGACAGGGGGCCACCCTTCCGTCGCCGCCAGCTCCCGACGCCGATAACCTTTTGACGCCTACACCAGGGGCCAGAGGTCAACGCCAATGACAAGAGGGGGGAGCCCCATTCAAGGCGGCAGGGGAACGGCGGCTAGTGCGGCCTGGTTTATGTGATCATCGTTGCCTAGCCTTGGTTTCAAATTGTATTGTTCTGGAGTCGTTTGGGGTCATGCGAGCTCAAAGCCAGCAGCACTGGCGGTGACCCGTTCCTCCCCGTCACCATCGTTGCCGATCATCCATACGGCACCACCGCCAGCATGTTCGGGCATCTGCAGGCTTGGCGCCAGGGTGCCACAGCCAGTGAAGTGCAATATCCCTTGATGCTACAGCAGTTTCATGCGCTTGATTTAGATGCCGACGTGTCCCTGCCCTCGCTCCATCGCAGCGGCTACAGTGCATTGGCGCTTGACGCGATAGAGCGCCGCTATCTGCTTGCTGGGACTCATTCCGGTCATCTTGGCATCTATGACGTCCAGTCTTTGGCGTTACGTCGGCGCTTCAGCCCCGCTGACCGGGGTGCCGCGGGCAGAGTTGGAATGGCCCAGGAGCCCGAGCCCCGCGCAGCCACAGGAGCCCTGCCCTTGCTTGCCCAAATCCGGGCTCGTGGTGAATACGGCCACCAAGCTCTCATCAACGATGTCCAGTGGTTTCCTCTGGACACGGGTCTATTTGTATCCTCCGACATGCGGGGTCTAGTCAAGGTCTGGGATACAAACCGTGCCGTCGTGGTGGAGCAGTTTGCTGGCTTTCGACATGTCTTCGGCCACGGCATTTGCGTGACACCCAGTGGTAGCTGCCTAGTGGCCATTGCCGGTGGTGACAAACACGTGCACCTGTGCGACATTCGGTCTGGTGCCCGCACTCATAGCCTGGCCGGTCATACCCGCGCCGTGTTGGCACTGCAATGGAGCCCCGCCAATGAACATTTGTTGGTCACTGGTAGTCGTGACAATACGATTCGTCTCTGGGACGTCCGCAAGGCTCGAGCCATGCTGACCCAGCTCGACATGGGCAACGACGATCAAGCCAGTCTTCATGCGCGTACAAGCGCCCCGGCCCACTCGGGCCACGTCAATGGCCTCACCTTTTCTAGCGATGGTCAAACCCTCGTGTCCACGTGCTGCGTAGCCCGGCAAATCCACACCTGGGACATGCGTACCCTGCGCCGACACCTCACTGTCTTTTCCGGCATCAAGCCCAGCCAGGCGCACACTCGACGGATGCGTATCTTGGAGAGCGCCGGACGTCCTTACCTGCTCTACCCCAACGCCTCAGACCTTGTTCTCTACGACCTATGGGATGGTGGCGCGCCCGTGCGCACCATGCGTGGCCACTACCATCCCATATCGTGCCTTGTTGCTGACGAAGCTGCACCCTACGTCATCACTGGCAGTGGTGATCCTGAGCTGCTCACCTGGCGTCCGTATAGGCCGGAGGGTCCTGCTGAAGCACGCGACGAATTCCAGCTGCCCCACCACCTTCCCATTGCCCTGGATGATGAGGACAACTGGAGCGAGGATGAGGAGCCCGCTCCAGCACCGCGTGCCGGGGGCAATGGCCGCTAGGCGCCATTGCCTCATTTTTTTGAGCTTTCGGTCCCGTCCACTCAATGCCCACCCTGGGAGGCGATGCCTCGCGTTTACCCCCCCCCCCCCCCCCCCCCTTTGGTTTGGCGAGTACCATTCATTAAATAAATAGAGACGCCAAAAGGCGGAAGCAGAGCCACGTCTAGCTAGTCCCTTGGCGCTTATGAGCTCAGATGGTGTTGGCACCACGCCCGGGTCAAGTCCGTCGCATCTGATATGACTCGCTGCGCGAGTTAGGCTACTTGAGTTTTACGTTCCTCTCAATTGATGGCGTTCAACGCCCCAAAGCAATTGACATTATGACCAGAACACTTGGTGAGAAACGGCAAAACGGAGAAAAGAGATGGAGAGGAAACGTAAAGGGACTAGAGGGAAGACAGGTGGGGGAAGTTTCAACAGCTTCGCACTCCCTTTCGTGGCTTGACAGTCGGATGAGCTGGGTGAATTGCTTGCTTATCAGTGATTGTAATTTCGATGTCGTGGGAACGTAGGCATGAATTCGGGGTCCAGGGGCAACGGAGCTGTCCGAAAGTAAGGATGAACCGAAGCAGCAATGGCTGAAAGCCGTTTCTCCGGGTCGTACATGAGCAGGTCCTGCATGAGGTCCAAGCCTGTGCTCGAAAGGAACCCAAAGCGCTGCTTTAGGTTGCTGTACGGCTGATGAGGCATGTGAAAGCGATGGGCCAGGGGTAAATCCCGAAAAGCGGGCCAAATAGACTCGTGTGGCGCTCCAAGCAAGCCAATGACCATTTCCAAGAGGGCCACCTCGGTTTTGGCCGGGAAGAGGGGCTCGTGAGCAAGTAATTCGGCGAAGATGCAGCCACAGGACCAAATATCAACGGCACGCGTGTAGTTCTTCATGCCAAAAACAAGTTCAGGTGGGCGGTACCACAAGGTCACCACGGTGGGGCTCATGTGGTGTGCTGGGTCCTCAATCACCCGTGTAAGGCCCTAACATGGGAGGGATGGGCACAAAAACGGAGGCAAGTCAGCTGCGGCACGAACGCTGGTGCAGGTTTGCCTCAACCCAAACATGAGAGCAGCAAAGAAGATGTAGGTGGTTACTACATACAAAATCAGCAACCTTGAGAATGCCGTGGTCGGTCAGTAGCAAGTTGCTGAGCTTGAGGTCACGATGAATGAGACACTTTGGCGAAGGAAGGGCGCAATTCCGATGATGAGCGCCAGCAGGAATTGAATGTGTGGGTGCAAGTTTGCCCAAAGCAGAAGAGAGAGGGAGGAAGAACAAGAAGAACCAAGACCGCAGGGTCAAGCAAGCAGGAAAGCGGTACCTCGCGATGCATGGCATCCAGGCCCGCAAAGAGCTGCTGCATCAAACATTTCACGGCAGGCTCGGGAAAGGGTGCAGGCATGTTGTCCACCAGCGCCGCTAGGTCATGCTCACAATACTCCATAATCAAAAAGATGGAGGTAAGTCGCCGACCGGCAGCCACGTGCAGCAGCTGGAGAACGTTGGTGTGGCGCAGCTGCTGAAGGGCCGTAATCTCTCGCAAGCTACTCAACGGCAATCCTGGCCCAGCACGTGTTGAGCTTTCCACTGACCGGGCACAAATTTCAAGCTCAAAAGCCCAGCAGCAAGCAGCCCTGTCCTGTGACCTAAAACTCACCTCCTCGTTCTTGATTCATCTTGACTTGTTTGACTGCAACCTGGTGCCCCGTGCGGGAGTCGCGGGCGCGATAAACAACACCATAGGTGCCCTCGCCCAGGATATTGAGCTTCTCAAACTCGGTGATGGAGCGACATGAACCAGCCATGGCCTCGGGCGGGGCCGGCGCCTCGCGCAGGGTGGTGAATGAAGTCAGTTGCACCGGCGGCATGATGGCGCCGGCACGACTCCCTGAAGCACTCGAGGCCTCATCCTCACTCTTTCGCCTCTTGCTCATCGATGCCGTTCCAAGTTTGCCACGCCGCACCGACCAACGGGCCAACGAACGATAAGAGCAGACGAGCCGACGAGCAGGGCTCTCCAAATGTTGTGCAGCTGTAACAACAGTTGCTGCAGTTCTCAATGGAGATGTTATGAAAGTTCAGGACGAAAAGTAAATGGTTATTGATGTCAGACGATGTGGCGTTTTCCTTCCATCGGGAGATCATCGCTCCTTGCTCGTCAAAAATCGTCGCGCAACGTGGTCAGGACGCGGGTGAGGTCGCGCAAGCAGCGCTTGGATTCGGGCATGGGCATCAATGGACACGTTGCAGCCAAGGCAAGGAATAAGGTTGCGCAAGTGTATGGACGTGCGGCCTGTGGTGCTGCCCGATGATGTTCTCCTCAACATCTTCTCGCGGTTCTCGCCGCGCGAGCTTTTGGTGCTCATGCAGGTTTGTTGTGCTTTGGTCGGCATGCCACTGGGCCCGCAATGGCATCTCACGGCTGTGCAAGCCACCGGCGAGCCCTCGGCACTCTGCAACCAGCTTGTCTGCCTGTTCATATGGATTCCTGCTGCTGTTTGTAGGTGTGCCGGCAATGGCGGCGTGTGGGCTGCCACCCACATTTATGGACCTACGTGAACTTTGGGTTGGCCGGCTGTGAGCTCGAACTGCAGGTCGACGATCAAGGGCTGGGTAGTTGCCTCCGGCTCGGGCCAGTCTTTCAGTTGGATCTGGAACTGTGTCGCGGCGTCCGTCAAGCGACTCTGGCCGTTGTGGCGACGCAATGCGCTACAACCCTGCAGCGGCTTAACTTGGCGGGGTGTCGGTCCATTTCCCCGAGTGGGTTGGCGCCCTTGGTGCAATGCACGCAGCTTCGCGTGCTATCCTTGCGTGGTTGCGTGCAGTGCAGTGACGAATCAATTGCAGGCGTACTTCGGGCATGTCCAAAGCTGGCTTATCTTGACTTGGGCTTTATCCCCGGCCTTGATAAGCAGGTGGGACAAGCCCTTGGTCAATTGCCACACCTCCGCCATCTCTCGCTGCGGGCGACCCCCACAAACGGAACCTTTCTCACGCACTTAGCCCGGGCCAACCCACCGCTGCAATTCTTGTCGCTCCGCAAGTGTCCACTTGTTCCCATGCCCGCCCTGGCCGCCCTGCTTCGAACGGAAGGGCCACGGACCCACATGCAGCGCCTTGATCTCCGACAGATGCCATACACAGCTGAGGCACTGGCTCACTTTGCCACACTCTTGGACACGCTGCAATCCCTGCTCTACGTGGACGTGGATGCCATGCTGGTGATGGAGCGCTTTGTGCTGACCAGTGCCGTGGGTGGCTACCAATACCAGGCCGCTGCCCTCGATGATGATCCACGGGATTCATTGCAGAACAACACCTTTTATGCCGCATTTGCTCCGGGGCCCACCCGCCTGGCTGGAGCACACCACGAGACCTATGGATGCATTTTGGATTAGGTGACGCATTGAAAGCTCGGAGAACTTGAAGACTGGTTGTTTTCTGTTCCCACGAGGCGCTGTGGGCCTAAATTTCATCCACCATAAGCATATCTGGGCGGTGAGGCAATCAAGATCAGCTTGCAGAAGACAGGAGCTGGGGAGCCTTGTGTCTGAGTTGACAAAATCATGTCAAAGTCAAATAACACGTACGCTGAGGGCTCTCCTCTTACTCAACACCCGGCGCTTAGACGGACAGGTACATGCACAAAGTAAGCAAACAACAAAGTCAAGGCAAAGAAAAAAAAACAAAGGCATCACATGTCAAGGAAAGGATTGAAAAAAAAAAAAAAAAAGTGCGCCCGGCGCCCAATCCAGCTGTCAAGAAGGGTACTACTGCTTCTTTAAACGCTTCTCAGAGACGTTGATGGTCCATTGTGCTGTGGTCGTGGCCACCAGCTCATTGGCGCTGTTGTAGAGCAGCGACTCGACCTGATCAGTCCGAGGTAAGGATGAGCCGATCTGCAGGCGATTTTGAAGAAGGGGGAACACGTGCAGGCAGGTGCCGGGACAGATGCATACCGTGTAGTCATGAAGGCCCACCGTCGTGGGCAAAGGTGCCGGGGTAGCCACGGCGCGGATCTTGCCACGAGCCTTCTTGTGATAGGTTGTGCCCAGAGCCGTGACGATGCCGCGCCACGCCAGATCGGGGTGCTGCAACGTGCGCTGCTCCATGACAGAGGTGACAATGATGCCCGAGACATACTCACCCAGATTTGTTAGAGCAACGGCATGAACCGAGTTGAAGGGGTTACGGAGCCACGGCTGTTCCACAATGTATCCCTCAGCCTCCACCTCATCCATGCGGGTGAGGATGGGCTGCACACTGGCCGTGTACGGGGCCGCGGCATGGACCAAACCCAGGAAGGCGTACGTGCCCAGTGGTGCAGCAGCGCAGGCTCGCCAGACCTCCATCTTGGACAGCGCCTGTTGCGCGGGCATGGAGGAGAGGTTGAGCAGAATCCGCGGTGTCACCATGGCCGTCCCGATCAGAGATGCGCTGGCCAACATGAGGTTGTCCAGGGGCTTGAGCGCCCAGCGCAGCATGGCCGTCATTCCCAGCGTCATCTTGCGGCGGTCCGAATGAAGCTCCTAATGTTATAGTTCACGAGCGCAGTGACAAATGGGTTTACATTGTCAGATTGATGTTTGTCAGACAAAACATACTGCTTGTGACGGTTTGCGCTTCTCGGAAAAAAGTCATAAAAATTGACAGCCGCGGACCGTCCGGTGGTCGAGCAGGAGGGTGTGGTGACAGGATGGGGTGGCAGTACTGGATTATGGGCCTGGTCCTGGCTGGGGTCTGCGGAAATCATCATGGCTGGCCAGGGGCTGTGGCCAATGCGTCGCTGCTTACGCTTCAGGAGAAGCTGTTGCCGGCCCACCAGTCTGCTGCTCGGCCACTGCAGCTTGTGGGGCGCGACCAGACCGGCCGGTTGGCAGTGAACCGGTCCAGTTTGCAGTACATTGCAACAAATTGGCACGAACCCGTCTATGTCGTTGGTGTGGTGGGGCCCTTTCACTCTGGAAAATCCTTTCTGGCGAATCGTCTTGTCGATCGCATGGCCGGCTTTACGCTCGGACCCACAGTCCAGCCCACGACCGAGGTCTGTCTGCCTGAGACTCAGCACATTGACAGCCCTGCACGCACACCAGCCAAGACAATCGAGGATAAGAAAATAGGCCAAGACCGGGGCCAGAAAATCTTTGAAGCTGAACAAAGATATCTTACCTCCTCTCCTGTCATTGTCTTGTCATTGTGTGTACAGGGCATTTGGACATTTAGCGTGCCGGCCACCGATGGGCAGCGCCTTCGCGTCGTTGTGTTAGACACCGAGGGCCTGGCTGCCCCAGGTACGCGAGCGCTCGAGTGCTTGGGGTTCAAGGCAAGCTGTCTGCGTGCAGTGTCTCTTGGGCCTACCCGTCTCACAGTGAGTCTGCTGTTCCAGGCAATTCTCCCGATTATGACGCTGCCTTGTTTGCCGTCACAACCTTGCTGTCAACGCATTTGGTCTACAACTCCGTTCGAATCATTGACGAGGCTGCCATGGAGTATCTCGAGGTGCTGGCGCGCAGAGCTCAGCTCTTCCAGTTTCAAACGGCTCTGCGCTCCCAGAGCCAATTTTCACCTGGTACGTGTGGCCAGTCTATGGTTGTTGTTGGTGTCGTTGATGTTGATGGTGTTGTTGCTGTTGTTGTTGTTGTTATTGTTGTTGTTGTTGTTGCTGCTGCTGCTGCTGCTGCTGTTGTCTAGAAACACCGTGGCGTTGGGTCGTCATGTTCATGTCTCGTTGAGTCTCATTTAATGACTTGGTGTGATTTCCAATTCCCTTCGGCCATGCTCCTGTTGTACTGGGGCATGGAACTTGGGGATGGCACGGTTCATGCAGCCATGCTCAACTTTCCCAGCCTTACCTGGGTGGTTCAGGACTTCTTCCAAGAGCAGATCGACGGCGAGAGTCCGGATGCATGGCTTCGTCGTCTCATGGACCAACAGGCAGGTGCATCCCTGGCTTGTGCTTGAGAGATGACACTACAAAAGTTGGATCAAGCCCATGATTATTTCTGCCTCCTGGTGACACGCGTTCTCCAACGCCACAGGAACATCAGCGTGACCAGCGAAATGAGACTGGCACGGGCTTGAAGCATATCTTCCCGGCGGCCTACTGCCGGACCGTCTTTTTGCCTTCCACAAGTCGCCAATCTCTCCTTCAGCTCGACGGTGAGGCTGCATTCATAAAGAGACCTGGTCAGCGCCCGCTTCACTGACTTGTCGGCTGCTCGCATGTCCAGCACTTGCGCCGGCAGACCTGACGGCTGATTACATCAAAGACATTGAAGCTGTGCAACAGCATTTGGTCGAGCTCTTGCGCCAGAAGCATACAGAAACGCCTCACGAAGCTTCGGCCACATTGAGTGACGAGGCACCCTCTGGCTTGAGCCAGCTCAGCCGTGCCTTGTTGAGTATTGCTGCTCCCCGGCAGCACTCGGCACCCTCGCAAGCATTGACACCGGCACAGTTCGTGTTTCTGGTTGACCTGCTCGTGACGGTGCGTCTGAGTACAGCTATTGTCAAGGGAAAGAGACTGGGGGGAAGCTGGGTAGAGAAATTCAAGCGGACAATGGCGCTGCGACTTGATTTGCTGTGTCCCTGCGACTGCGCCGCCCATCGCCTGTTTCTCCTCTTGTAGACGGTCAATAACGGAGGCCTAGGTCAGCTGCCTTCGCAATGGAGCATGCTGGTGCGGGAGCAAGCTGTTCAAGCTAGAGAACAAAGCCTGCAGGCAAGCGGCTTGGCTGACGTCCTTGCTCGAGCGGTGTGACTGAGTGTTTGCGTGCCATTGACCTCTTGACGTTCTGGGGCCCAATGTCCATCGGTGTAGTTCTTTCGGCGAATGGTTGAAGACTTGTTGGCTGTACAACCACCATTGGCTGAACTTCTCTTTGAGCAGCAGTTACATGATGCAAAGGCAGCAACGATCAAAGGGTTTGAACGGCAAATGTTTGACTTGGACACACGCTTCGCTCAGGTGTGGATTGCTCACTGGCTGACGTCTTTGGCCTCGCTCGGCTTACCAGTTCGATCTTTTGTTTGTGGCGTCTGTACGCACGCACCCTGTATCTAAGCCCCGCTCTGTGTCCATCTTGCTCTCCACGTCCTAGGATGCCATCGGTACTCTGAAGGCCGAACTCAAACTGCTGACCAAGCAGACGACGGAACGTTATCTCGCCAAAACGCAGGCACACGTGGAGCGCATCCTGCGGGTATGGCCCTCGGCTCGGCTCTGCAGGGTTGCACCTTGCCACCTGGCCTGTTATTGCTTGATGTGTGAGCAATTTGATTTGGTTGGCCCCATTCATGGTGTAACGCAGGAGGCCGAAGACAAGTTTGTTGCAAGTTTGGGGGGTCTTAGACAAATGATGACGGAGGAGCTGGATTCGTACTTGCAGTCGAGCATGGATGCCCTGCAGAGGCAGACTGCAGGGCAGTTTGCACCATACGGCTCGAACGGGCGAGCGGTAAGCGGCGCAATCCGTCACGTTGCTGGGCCCTCACAACGGGGAAGGCAGATGTTAAGAGGATGACCTCACGTCTGTTGGTGGGCAAGGCTGCGGGCAAGCTGCTAGCTGTAATGCAGCAACGGTGCGAGGTGGCCCAGGCGCGCAACTTGCGCCGGATTGTAGCGTCCATGCAACAGGCCACCTTTGCTGCTCTGATTCATGCCAAAAAGGCCATTGCTGAGGTGAGCCGTGCGACTCTGCTGCTCGGCCCAGGTGTTTGAGGCATGCATGCCTCACACTGGCTTGACTGGCTTACTGTCCGCTGATTACAATTGTGGATCATGCCTCTGCAGGTGGGGATGGTGATGTGGAGCCAGGAGGAGCTTCAGGTCAAGCAGGATGCGGTCTTGGCGGAGGCTTTGGCTGTGTTCGGGCGTCAGACCGATGGATATCATCAGGTCTGCGCCAGTTTCGGCTTTTCTTGTGCAGAGCCAACACCTGCTTGTGCTCATCTGGGTGCTTGGTTTTGGCAACTGGGATTGGGCAGCATCCTGCTCATGACCAAGAGAAGACGAATCTCCTGGCTCAGCTACAAACGCTCGCCTATCAGTGGCGCGACGATAACGAGGTACGTTCCATCGCTTGGCCTACTTTGGATTGGCCGGGCACTGGTGCTGGTGCTCATGTGGTACTAAACTGTCGTCATGGGCATCTGGCAGGCCCTCGTGCGGCGGCATATCAAGTCCCTTGAGGCAGAGATTCAGCAGGAAGTGCACGAGGTTGGTCCTCTCTTTTAGATAAACGGTGTTGCTCAAGCCATGCAGTTGTGCGGTTTTTGGGTAAACGGGTGACCATGTTCTTGTATAAACTTCCTAGGTCTTGGTTCAAGTACAGCTGCCCATCTCGATCCAAGAGGAGAACAAGCTAGTGGCTGAGCAAACTCGCCGTGCGTATCGCAAGTTTCGGAAGGTGGCGCTTCGGTACGTGGCTTGGGGCGTCTGGGACGTGTTCAGGATCACATTGTAGCAGATGTGAGTTGCACGGCTTCTCTTGACGCGTGCGGACACTGGTTGGATGGGTGGCCGCAGTTTCGAGGGCATGCCCAGTTATAACCAGGGTTTGGTGGCGCTTCAAACACGGTTGGATGAGCTGGCAAAGGCCTTTGGCGAGGACAACGTGCGGCAGTTGCGCGAGCGGGTGGAAAAGCCTTTGCAGCGGGCGCGCCGCCGGCTGCGCGCACTCGTGGCTGACTACGGCCTGGTATTGAACCTGCACGGTTACGCACGCACATATGCCCGTGAGGAGATTGGGCAGCGGCTCGAAGCCGATCACTGTCAGCGCGTGATTCAGGCTTGGATGACAGGTAGTGGTCCAGAGAATGTGGGCGACATGTTGCGCGAGAACGATCAGGTGCGCCTCGACGGCACGATCCCACCCATCCGTGCTGGCCGGAAGCTCATGCGCGGCTCTTTGTGGGCCAACACGTTGCGCTGACCATAGGGACTATTGAACCTATCTCTGGTCGTTGGTATCGCGGGAATATTTCTCTTTCTGCTAATCCGAGTGCTTTGCCGCTCGTCCGTAGCTGCGCGTCCCGTCCGAATCAAGGCCGAGTGAGAGGCGGGCTGGCTCGTTTGCGAACGCGAACTTGTCAACGGCGACGCTGAAATCGACATAGGCGGACATAGGGGCACGAGGACGGATGCATGGCCTGAACATCAACAAGCACGCATGAGAACTGATGCTAGTGTGGATCGGGTGGCGCTGCTCATTGCACGACAGCACAGACCGTGGGCACGTCACCAGCCAAGTCTGTGCCGGGCGATGCGATTGGCGCTGATCGTGACACATGCACTATTGCAACGAGTGCCCAAAGCTGGCACTTTGGATGCGGCCATACTGCAAAGCATCTCACACCAATAAGAGCTGAGCATCGTTTTTCTGACAAAATGACAAAATACAAGATGATGTCATGACCAGCATCCTCACCCATTACACATAGCGTCCGATCAACGTGACAAGAACGGAACAAGATCTTGTCCAATGGCCTTGACACCTGGTGCCCTGACACGCCACCCGCCCGTACGTTCGTTCCATCCCAAAGCCCTCGATGGAAGCTACATGTAAGCTGAGACATGGCGATGTTACCGCCTTTTGTTCGGCAGTCACGACCAACGGCAGTCGCCCGTTAAAGCTCTTGTGGCTCGTCGTGGGCAACCACACAGTGTTGCATCAAAGCACCCTCTCGTCAAAGAGGATTGGAGCGAAAAAGAGAGAGAGAAAGAGAGAGAGAGAGAAAAGTCAGAGAGAGAGAAAGAGAGAGCGAGAGAGGAGAGGAGAGAGAGAGAGGAGACAAAGCAGAGAGAAGAAAGCCAAAGGTGTGTGTTTACGTCGCTCTTGGGGTTTTATTTTATTTTTTTTTTCTGAACAGGATGACTGCCATGAGTGTTTTGGCGGTTGTGGCAATTGCCCTGGTTGCTGCGGTGGCGGCTCGGCCAGCCCGTGTTGCGACCTTGGACCTGAGCAGCCAAGTTCAGCTGAGCCTTAATGCTACCACCATCTCAGATGGTGACTGGGTACAGGTGCGACACGACCGGCCAGGGGCGACATGGGTTGTTCGTCCTGAGCTCGATGGCACGTCTTGCTCACTTGCTGGCTGTGTTGGTCCAATGCCTGCCTCTTGAACCCGCGTTTAGCTTTCCTGGAGTGGCGTGCCCGAGGCGGAGCGCGCCAGCTGCTGGATCGGCGTCTTCAGTCCAGATAATGTTGATGTCTCGACCATTCCCGCAATCCCATACCCCGCGACAGCCCCATGGACTGCCACTGCTGCCCTGAAATATCAAGTCTGCTCTGCCGGTAGGGCCATGGCAACATTCACGCTGCACTCATGCTCTGGGTTTGAAGCTCTTCGTTCCCTGTGTGTGTAGACTCATTCTCACGCTTGCACGCTTGCACCTGGCATCTACGCACGTGCACTGCCCGGACGCTGGTGGTATTGTGCTTGACTAGATCCAAGTTTTGCCAGCACCGGTGCAGGCTCGTACAACTTTCGTCTCTTGGACATGCGCGAGACCGTCGCTTTTTGGCTCTTTTACAACGGTACCACCAATCCGGTGGCCGTGAACAAGTTCGTTGTCAAATCTCGATCTCTAGCTGGGCCTGTTTCAGCTCCAGCCACCACTGATCCCCACGACCCGGCCGTCTTTTGCTTGTAGGTCTGATGTCATCAGCTTTACGCATCCTGAGGCTCCGCGCCACGGTGTGCTGGCGCTCACGGCCGACCCCACAGAAATGCGTCTGACTTGGAACAGCAAGTTCCCGACGCCCGGCTTTGTCAATTACACCGTCAATGGCGCTGCGACTGCCGTCAGCATCCCGGCAAAGGCCTACACCTACACTACGGACGACCTCTGTGGTGAGCCTGGACGGACTCAAGGCTGGCGAGAGCCTGGCTTCTTCCATACTGCCGTTATCAAGGTTTGTGCAACCTTGCACAGTACTTTTACATTTTCCTGAGTCATTGTGCATGCCATTGACATTCAGCCGCTCACCCCCGCCTCTTCTACATGGCAACAGGGTCTGACACCCGGCACGGATAAGGTCTCTTACATCTATGGTAATGACCAATATGGCTGGAGTGAGACCAAGGTGCGATGCAACTTCTTGTTGGGCTGTGCTTTGCTCGTGTTGTCGGAGCTCGCATGAAAGCACTCGCTTGCTGACGCACGGACCACACGCCTTGGCCTTTTTCTGGGTGCCTTTCTCCGTTTGGGGCTTCAATGGGCTTACGTAGACATTTACTGCCGCCAAGAGCGCCGATCCCAATGCCGCCCTGCGCGTGTTGGTTGCTGCGGATGTCGGTGCCACCGAACCGGATCATTGCTCTTACCACTGGATCGAGCCCAATGCCACCCAAACTTGTGTGTGCGCGCTTCCCCAAGCGAAGCTTGGCTCCCTCTCCCTTGTGTGCCGGCCTTTTGTTTTGCTTTGCGGCCAATGAGCACGTTTTACCTACCACCTAGTGTTTTGCTGACCATGGCTGCCAATGCCCGTTTCCTTGCCTTGTCACTAGACCAGCACATGACAGATCTTGCGTCTAGCGCTGACGTTGTCCTGCACATTGGTGACATTTCTTGTGCGTGCTGAGCCTTTGCCTGCGTCGAGCGCACTAATACAACTGCTTCTCACGGAGATGGCTGCCCGCGGCGATAGATGCCACCGGCTATTCTGCCAAGTGGGAGCTTTTCATGGCCCAAGCCGAGCCGCTCGGCAGCGTTCTGCCCATCATGACTGCCCTGGGCAACCACGAGCAAGATACTCCCGATCGTCGGTCAGGTGAGCGTTGATGTGTTTCTCCACCTCGTGCTGTCCTGCTTGCCAATAGCCACCGACGGCCGCTGTACGCTTTGTTTTGCCATGACTGTGCTCCGGTGGTGTTTGGCGCTCTTAGGCACATACTATGGCAGCAACGACTCGGGGGGTGAATGCGCGCAACCCACCAACGCTCGCTTCCCCATGCCCGTGCCCTCGCACAACCAGTTTAGCGGTTTGTGCTTGTGCCTTGACCCGTACACCCATGTTCCATCGCATGTATTGTGCATATTGTCCTCAGCGCACATGTTGTCGCACGTGTTTAGGCTGGTACTCTTTTGACATGGGACCCGTTCATTTCATCACAATCAACACGGAACTGGAGGTGGCGCCCGGCAGCGATCAATACGATTTTATTACGGATGACATTGCCCAGATGAACCGCAGCGAAACGCCGTGGCTCATCATGATGGGTGCGACGGCCCGTATTCACTCCCCTAATCTCGCCTTGACTCTTGGGATCGCCGCTCATGCACGGTGATCTCGATGCTCTGGCTCTGTTTGCTTTGAGAAAGGTCATCGCCCCATGTACTACGTGCGCGATGATGTATCGGCCATCGACCCCCACTTTCAGGTTCTCGAGTCGCTCATGTACGAAAATAAGGTACGTGCTGCAACACCTCTCTCTCGCTGTATCTTCTTGCCTTCCTTCGCGTCACGTCGTGACCCATTCTGGAATCTACTTTACCCCAAATTTAGGTCGATCTCTTCTTGGTGGGCCATGTCCACAATGCCCTGGTTACCTGCCCCGTCTACAACGGCACCTGCGCAAAGTCCATGGACGAGGATCTTTTCCAGGGCACTGTGCATGTATGCGTCGGCAACGGCGGCATGTCACTGGACAAGGTCCCCAAGACGGCTCCTGCTTGGGGTGACTTTATGGCTTCCGATTGGGGTTACGCGACCCTGGATGTTGCAAACAAGACTCATCTCACGGTAAGTTGTTGCTGGTGCGTGTGCATTTTTGTCAACGCCGTGTGCGTCGCTATGATTTCACGCATCTGGCACGGGTGCCTAGATGTCGTTGTTTGAGGATTCGACCAATGTTGAGCTCTATAGCTTCAGCTTGAAGCGCAACTATCCTCGAGCTTTGTAAATAGCGCACGAATTTTGCTCGTTCCATCTTCATCTTCTTGAACCTGATGAAACTGCTCTGTTCTCAATCAGCGCTGTCGCGTGACGGTTGTGGATACAAGGGGGCGTAAGAAATATTGTCTGTTATCTGTGCAACCATCTCTCTGCTGCCTCTTGGTATTTCAGGAGCAATTCAAGACCGGTTCATGCGCCAATTACAGACTGAGAGCTGACATCTGTGAGGAGTTTCAACTCTGATCTGAATACACGCGAAACGCTCTACCCAAAGAGAAAAACAAACAAGGAAACAAACAGCAAGAGCAGAATCAAAACCAAATGCACGGCTCCTCAAGCCGAGGGAGTTGTCTCAAATAACATTTGCGGTCAGGGTTTGGCTTGACAATAGCTGATCTATGGTGGTTGCTGGCGCTTACAGCTTCCAGGCTTGAGTCATCATAAGAACAAAGTATGTGTCAGTGTCGATGGAGGCTGAGACCCCACTGTAGTAGGAGACAAACTCGTCCCATTCCACCTTGCCGTCTGCCCGACCAGGGGTGTCAAACGAGGCCAAGAATTCCTCGAGCAGCTCGTCTTCGTCCATCTCGCCACTAATGTATTTGGGATTCTTTTTGACATCATAGACGCCCTTGAGGTCCTCCTTGGTAATGCGGCCGTTGCCGTCCTTGTCCAGCTTTTGAAATGCTTGTC